ATTTCAGGACAAAGAGATATACCTACCCATGTGCACGGATTCTTTACCCACTTATTAACTGTGCAACTTGGAAGTAAGAAAGCCGAGCGCTGAGGAGTGAAATGTTCAGCTGGAGAGGAAATGAAGCAGCCGCACCAGGAGTGCCAAAGTGGGAGTTTGAGGAAAGATATGTGTCATTGGCTTTGCCTTACACATCTAAAAAAGATGCCCTGGACTCCACAGTCAGCCCTGCTGCTGTGTTATTTTAATAAAATCACACACATGAAAGATACACAGCCCTTTCAAACCACAGATGCAGGTTATGTGACCTGGTGAACTATCTCAAGACTTAGAGTGAGCAGGCATCAGATCCATCCAGCGTCATCTTTTGACTGCACAATAAAAGGAACAATCACGGCCAAAAATTTCTACATGGAGAACATTTTCACAGGATGCTTACTTCACAATCATCATGTTACTTTTCTCCCCACTTTTTTCCCTTTGAAAGTTAAGCTTTCTTCCCTCCTAAAACTGTGCCTTATTACTACTGTTAGCACAACTACACCCTGAGAAAGCCAGAGACTTTTCATAAAATATTGAACTTTACTGAAATAGGATACCACTGCCCAAGACCATGGGTGATTAAGTTTCTAGTTATCAGCAGGGTCAGTGGAGGGATGATTGACAGGAACATCACACATACACAACATTGTTATGGCTCACAGCATGGTGTCTGCATTAATTCAAACCATCTTGAAAGTTTCTGGAGGGATTCAGAACTTGGCTTATAGTAACAATTGGCTTGCATATTCATTTTCATAGATTATACTTCTCACACAGGCTCTATTCCAAGGAAAATATTATTTCCATTTGACTTCCGTGATGAATTCTGTCCAACATGTAATAAGTGGTATTCATCCAGAGTGAAGCCTTCTATTTTTTAACAGTTTCATGTCATGGCTTTTGCAACTGGTTCTTTCTTTTTCAGACTTTTTTTTCCTCACTGTTGAATGGCTGTCAAGACGGTACTCAACAGTGGTTTCAGTTCACACCTATCAGTGTGTGTTTTGGGAAACACTGAAGTTCTTAAAAGGCAGGAGTGAGAGAGAGCGAGAACAATAGACTATCTACTGCAGGGTATTTCCAAGGCATGTCTCCTTTGCCTCTGCTTGGAAGTCTTTCTTCACTTTTTGTAACGCTAAGACACTGATTGCTAATTTCAACACTTCGGAGAGATTATCCAAATTTCAGGTTATCTGTTGCAGATCTCTGGTCCTCAGTGTCCTCTCTGCCCTGAGCCAGCTTTCTCCCTCTCAGCCTGGCCTCTGTTGTGCTCTTTTCTTCCTTATCTGAAAGGTGGTGAATCGACTCCCACAGGCAGCTCTCCAGTAGCCTGGGCAAGAATGATCTTGGTTTAAAGATGAAAACACTGTTTTTGGAGTCTCTTAGTTGACCGGACTCATTAAGAACTGTAGGTCTGGCTTCAGTACATTTGCGTAAGTGAATGTGATTTTGGTAAACCAGTAATGGGAAACAGATTCACTTCCAATACATAGATTAACCGCTTAACATTCCCTGAAAAAATACAGCGGGAACATCTAAGGTGGTAAAATGTGCTTTTCGCTAGAGTAGCTGTTGAAGTTACTCGCTTCTGCAGGGCTTTGTCTGAGACCCTGAGCATTGCTTGTGGCTCTCTCCTTGTCCAGAAGGCCAGGACTGCAGTATCCCTGGAGACTTTGATTTACATAGCTCACACTGCCACTCAGGATTAGCCTTGTAAACGCCTCTTCTCATTGGGGTTTGATTTGCCACCCTTGGGAGCTGTGTAGTGTCCCCTGCTCACCTCCACAGGAATGATAGGCTAGATCCCATGCTTACCATGTATTCACAGTGGACGAGAAAGAAACAGAACAGCCTTGTTCTCACAAATCCTACAGTTTATCAAGGCTAGCCAGACGTTAAGCAAATAATTACAGTAAACTGTGATGGAACCTAACAATAGAAGCAAAAGAGCATGTCTCTCCCAGGAAACATGACCGGGGTTCTCCCAAATATGTACAGATGTGGGTCAAGCACATGTCCAAGGTAATAACAGTGGGCTGGGCTGGACCTTGTGTGTATGCCAAGACAGGTTTATTTGCATTACGATATGGAATCTTCATCCTACCCCTGAGAGATGTGTCCCTGTCCTCATTTTACAGATGAGGAAATCAAAGCCAGGCTGTCCCATGTTGACTTCTCTTGTGTTTCAGCACAAGTAAAAAAAAAAAATCACAGAACTCAGACTTAAGCCCTGGAACTGTGATCCAAACCCTGAACACTTAACTGTTGCTTTATGTTCTTTTTATGTAACCTTAGCTGAGTAAAAGACTTTATTAGGATTTTAAAATCTAATCAGTGAGACCTACAGTTAGTTCTTACTTCAGAAAGAGGAGAGTTTCTCTCCTTGGCTCATTAAGCTCTCAGTGGCTCCAAGCTCTGGGGTGTGGAATTCTTTCTGAGTGCCCTGGGGCTGTCTTGTCACCCAGCACAAAAAAAAGAGGTGAGGGGGAAGTCAGTAAAACCAGGGCACACTGGCTCTGAAAAAGAACAGATGAGGCCCTCCAAAAATAACACAAAAACTCTTGTAATAAATGAGAACGCCTCAGCCTTTCAGGATCCTCTGAGAAATCAAATGATCCTAAGGAGGCTCTCGGAGCAAGGGGCCAGAACTTTTCCAAATGTACTGTCCTCATTTTAATCACGGTGGCAGTAGCGAAAATAATAAATATTCCACTTAGCTCAACACAACCAAATGGGTTTTTTTAATGTTTAAGATTTTTAGAAGTCCACTCATCAGTGTTACCATTTCAAAACTGAATTCCACTGGTAACCCAGTCTTTCAGCGATAGCTAATATAAACTTTTGCCCCCAATGCATAGGCTTTGTACAACCCAAGGCCTACATTATTGCAAGAATGGGTTTTCTATAAGTAAGCCTTACATAGGCGTCATCTGCACACACCCATTTCCCCCGGGTACTCCACATTTTCCTGGGGCCCCACTTACAAGAAGCAGGCCGATGAAACCTGAGCCACCCTGGGTGTCCCCACCACAGTCCCCCTGGTGTGCTCTCCCTCCTTCTCTGGCCAGGTCTCATTGCCTGGCAAGTGCGACAAGATCTAAAAAACAGTCAGGGGTGATGGCCCATGCTCCAACCCTAGAACTTGGGAAACTAAGGCAGGAGGACCGTCAAGTCTGAGGCCAGTGTGGTAGTGTACAGTGTGAACTTATGGCCTGCGTGCGGCGGGGAGGTGTTTGTATCATTGAAAGCTCTGAAAAGTTCACTGTCACTGGGCTACAGAGTGAGTTCAAGGCCAGCCTGGACTGCCCAGCAAGACCCTGTCTTCAAAAAGTCAAAACCAAACCAAAACAAAGATTTACAAAATAGTGGCAGGGGCCTGCCAAGTCGCAGCAGAAATAGAGCGGGCCAGTTTGTTTTCTCTCCAGCCGTGTGCTTCCTCCTCAGCCCTCCTTGGGCATGATTTTGTGAGTAGATGGAGGATGTTTTTCATCACTTCGGAACAACTTTTCTGTTTATGATGAGAACCCCTGGAGTAGTTCTGGGCTCCCAGAGCATAACTGGTGTTCCAGAGTAAAATACCTCGTTGTTTTGTCACAGTTGTTCCTGGTCCCATCTGTCACCTGTGTTCCTGAAGGTTTAGCCCAAGAGTGAGGAAAGAAAGGACCACAGGGCAGCCTTTGTTGTGCACACGCCCCATCCTAGTTGAAAATGCACCAGTGCCCGGATGACCTTGTGGCTTCCTGTTCTCCTGGTTCGTGGCCCTAATCCTTCCTGACCTCTCAGTCCACACTACAAAGCCTGCCTGGGTTGAGGATGACAGTTCAGGTAGTGACATGGCAAGCCGGAAGAGATGAGAGCCTCAGGGAGATCTTCCTCAAATTGCCAGGACAGCACCATTGCCATACAGTGACCCAACTAGGGGCGGGGATGGCTGGAAATGGGACTGACCTTGGGCTATATCTTCTCTTCTCTGACTTTCCAAGCCTCAGCTCCTTAGGTTCTGGTGATCCAAACAGACCGCCCCATTCCGACTTCATTCTGTACTGAAAACCACTGTTGTGAAGTTTGGTTTTGTTTTTGTTTTTTGCACTACAGAGAAAGTGCATGGGCCCCAAAGGAGTCCTTTATAAGAACAAACCTACTCTGCAGGAAAGGAACAGGCAAACGTGGGAGCAGCACACAGCCCCTGAATCTTTGGGGGGGTCATTGGTCGTTTGTTTGGGTGACTGTTCCTCAACCAAAAGGGTTTCCTCTAGCACTCTGGGGCAAGTGACCTGTTTCTGGTTCTCAGTCACATTACCCTTACCTTTTGCATAATGACCTCCCAAGGCAGGAACTGTCTCCGTTACTTTGGTGTCTCCTGAGGTTATCTGCACAGTGTGGTGGCCTAGAAGATGTTTCATACCATGCACATTAAGCTGCCCACTAGATGGTAGTGATAAACCAGATAATGCCATTTCCATCTCTGACCCTTGGCGAACACCTTCTACTCAAGGTTTATTTGCATTTCATTGGTGCTTGATAAACATTTACTGAAGTGATCTGAAATGAAAACACAGGCAGCCTCCCCTTTTCTAAATGCAGGGTGCCAGAGTAGTTTATCCTGTGGGGCAGAATAAATGGGGCAGAGTTTGGGGAAGCAAAGGCAGAGTGTGGAAGAGGGTTGCCGAGTAAGTCAGGAGGCCTGGGTTTTGACCTCACCTGCCTGGACACCCTGATTTCTTTTTAGAATGTTGCAGAGGTATAAGAAAGTCATCGGAAAGTCATCAGCGGTATAAAAACACCTTAGGAAGAATTTAAAGCATTTTACAGGTGCAAAGGTGTTACCGCTTCCTTTACAAGTTCCAACAGCAAAAATGTAGAACCGGAATTCAGTAAATGGTACCCAGCAGGGTTAAACACTGTTTAAACCCCACTCCGGAAATAAGCTGTAATACTTGGGTCATGTTTTCTCACAGGTACGAATTAGGAGCTGCTCTGTTTATTGGATGGGCAGGAGCCTCGCTCTGCATAATTGGTGGTGTCATATTTTGCTTTTCAATATCTGACAACAACAAAAAACCCAGGTATGCAAGAGACAAAAATGTTCTGTTCAAAGGTACTATACCACTGAAAATCATTCTTCTCCCTGCGACGAATTGCAACCGTTCATGTGATTCTCAGAAACTTTAAAAACCCAGAATTGACAAAGTCAGGAATATAGTCAGTTTTAAAACAAAAAGAGCTCATCATTATCATATTCCAAGAGTATTTCTGGAATTAGAAATAGTAACCTAAACAGGAGGGCATGCTCTTCACACTGGCATCAGCATTGCTGTAAAAGCAGGCATTATTGATGAAAGTCATTAATTAGTCTTCTAGGTTCTGGTAAGATGAGTTTTTAAAGAATAGCTTTCAAAAAGAGAAGCTGAACAAACGAGTAAGTTATGGGTTTCTTCTGCAGAGATTCTTTGCTATGCAAGCTACTGAAAAATGACACAGAGCTATTTCTCAAAGCTAGAGGAGGGAAGACAGCAAACAAGAAAGAGGAAGGTTTAAGCTTTGCTATGGACAGAAATGGTTTCCATCCAGTTTGTCTGCCCCGAGTTGAACAGAGTCTATCAGAACTGTGTTTGCCTTTTCAGAATGGGATACACATACAACGGAGCCACGTCTGTCATGTCTTCTCGGACCAAGTATCATGGTGGAGAAGGAGATTTTAAAACCACAAACCCTTCAAAACAGTTTGATAAAAATGCTTATGTCTGAAGCGCTCTGCTGGCAAGTTGTGTCTTGAGTTTGTTCTCAAAACGGACTGTTCACAAGATGATCCCATCGAAGACCCTCTTATAATTAACACTCAAACTATTTTTAAAACATGAATTTGCAGTGTTTGTTGATTGTATGGATGTAAATGTTCTTACATGGTTATGTACTAATCATTTTCTGTTACGGCTTTCTATAAAAAAAATAAACAAGTTATTTACAGGATTTGTACATTGCATACATTTAGAGGACAGGTAGAGCATTCATTTGGTACCAAAGGTTCAAGAAGTATTTACGATATAGCCTTTTTGGTCATTCATACTGGGAGATATTTGACCCCATTCCTTGTTCCATTCATATTTTAAACAGGAAGTGTAGAAAGAATGCTGCCTTCTAAACAGTACTGGGCCAGTCTGAGATTGTTCCTCACATGATGTCCAAGTTAAATACACAAGCTATTGGCGGCTGCATGGAGTTCCCTTCTAGTTTGTAGGCCCATCTGTCATTCACTTTTATGGCTCAAGGAAGGGCTACTGAGGACAGTATTACTGCCCCATATGTGGCACAGCCACCTTAAGTAACTGCTGGGGAGCTGAGCAGCAGCCACCAGCTAAGATCAAGTCTGAAAGCAACAAGGGAAGTCCTAGAGCCAGCGTGGCACCTGCGTCACTCAGAACTGATGGGCTGTGTCTTACAGCTCCTGTTTTTAACTGGGAACTGACAGCCTTGTCATCTTTCAAGACATGTGAGTCGCTTCAGTGATTTCAGAACAAGGACACAGATGCCAAGGGCCAGGCCTAAATATAGTAAGCCCGCGAGGGCAGCAGTGGTGACCAGGAACACACCCACAAGACTCACAAACCCCACCCAGCTCGCCCCTCAGGCCTCCCTGTGCAGCACGCGCTTGTTTTATCTGAGTTTACACAGAAGGAAATTAAAACAGAGTTTGAGTAACTTGTCACAGTAGTGACAGAACAGGACTTAGGGTTGAGACAGTCCGGGATAAAATAGAGAACTGGGATGGATGAGGGCTGGCAGTATGGCTCAGTGATAGCATACAGGAGGCCCTGGGATCCATTATGCATCCCCAGCATGACAGACAGACAGACAGACAGGCAGGCAGGAGAAAAGGAGCCAGCAAGGGCTGAGGCTGGGGACACAGCTCAGCGGTGCCTGTGTTATCAGCAGGAAGCTGTCCACTATGAATTGCAATGCAGGTGAACATACCATTTTTCTGAAATGTGAAAGCTTTAAGGGGAAACAAAATAAAAAAAACATGGTTTGGAGGTGCTGAATAGAAAAAGAAAAGTTTGTTTGAAATTTGCTGTTGGTTAGTACCAGGTTAGCACAGTACCTGAAATATCTTTTTCCAGAAAGACATAAAGGAGGGTAGGTGCTTCAGGATAGAGTGGGGATAGGGTTGTGTGATTTAATTAATTAACTAATTTTACTTCAAGCTGAGCTGGTAAAAATGTACTGAAAATTTTTGGGTAGAGGATAAAGGTATAGAAAAACTGCCCTGGTTCTAGGTGCATGGCCTTTGGCAAGTGACTTCCTGTGGTCCTCATATCTTTAAATGAGGACTATAAACAACCATGTCTCGGAGCAATTCTCATTAGGCAAAGTAAGGTGGTTTAAAGCCAAAAAAACCAAACCAAGTGGCTCAGTAAACACCTGCTACAGAATTCCTGACTCAGCAAAGTAACGCATGGCTATCTCAGGCAGGCTGACAGTACAGGTGCACCGTTCTACACGAAACCGGCTCCTCTTTTATTCAGACAGGGTTTTGCTATGTAGTTAAGGCTGACCTTTGAACTCACTGTGTAGCCCCCCAGGCTGGCATCAAACTCACAGCAATCCTCCTGCTTCAGCTTCCCAAGTGCTGGGATTACAGGCATGCATCCCCATGCCTGGCTGGTAAAGATTTTAGAAACACAGAATAAGTGTATTTGTATTAAAATGGTCCTGCAGAAAGTTGGGAAAATGTTAAGAAATTTAGATTATGTACAAGTAGAAACAACCTTATTCTAAAGCCTGGATGTTACATAGCATAGCTACCAGGGCAGGCCCCTCCCCTAGTTAAATCCTTACAAAAGTATAAATTCTGCTGGGTACGATGCTCATCTGCAATCTCATCTGTAATCTCAGTATTCTGAAGGCTGAGGTAGGAGGATTTCCATGAGTTCATGGCCAGCCTGAACTGCATAGCGAGACCCTATCTCAAAAAGAAAAAGGTATGAATTCATTTCGGCAATCATCTCAGAATAATCAGCCACAGTCACAAGAATGTGATGGAGAGGGCTTTACTGATAAACTTGGAAAGTGAAGAGATCTAAAATCCAACAAACCATTTAGATAAAATGTTACTTGTTTTTGGAAACAAAGTATAGACAGTACCACAAAGCATTAAAAAATGCAAAAAACATTTTATAGGAACCTTTTGGCCTTTAACATCATTGTTCAACAATATAACTATTTAGTTTTGAGGTATTTTATAACATGGGTTGGGTAGTTTTCAAGCCCAAATAAAGAAAAACTACCCACACATGTGATTCAGTAGTAAATGAATCTTTTTTTTTTTTTTTGGTACCAAGGATCAAACTCACAACCTTGCGCTTGCCAGGCAGGTGCTTATGCTGCTAAATCCCCAGTCCCACTAATCAATCTTTTTTGTTTATATCTGATAAGTTAATTGGCATTTTAAATAGCTAAACTGTACTCATAAAACACCCAAGACAAAAAGATTACAGCACAGAAAATAACCATTTAGTGGCACCATGCTTACAATGAGTCAAAGCTAAACATGACTAGGAAATTTAGGAAGATTTATTTAACGTGGGCCTAGCTACACTGTTATCATTCTAAACCTCTACTATGACAAACAATCAGTCTAACTCTTTAAGATTTCACTGCTCACTATCGCTATTTTAAAGAATTTTATAGTATCAGTGCATCCACTGTGACAATATAGATATAAAAAAAGCTGTAATAACTCAAACCAAAACCTGACATAAATTAAAAAATTATATATATATATGTTTCACTTAAAAATTAGTTGAAAAAAATGCACTTAACACTAGAGTACCATTCTGAAGAAGACACTTTTTCTGACTTTAATGGCACATTATTTTGATTTTTAGCTGCGGAAGTAAAACACCTTTATATGCTTTAAAATACTGCTGACTATCAATACTGTATTGAATGCCACTGAAGAGACTGCAGTGTTTTCTGAGGTGGCTTCCTTGTTACTGAGAGAAACACTGTAAGGCAGGATCCACAGGCCGCCATTGGACACCACTGGCTTCTGGGAGAACCCTCCGAGGTGCAGAACTGTAGTCAGCCTCAGTATCACTTGCCCAGTCTCAGCTACTAAGCTGCTTTTCAAAGCACTCATTTCTTGAAGTGCTGCAGAGGGAGAGAGAGAAGAAAAGAATCCCCAGTGGTTAAATAAACGCGGTCAAGCCTGAGAAAGCCCATGATTCCATTTTGTCATTTATCAGGAATCCCTGGCCTCAACCCCGATGGCTATGTAGGAGACCACTGTGAAATCCAACACGAACTGGGGACATCTCTAGGGTCCCTTCCCACAACCCCGGTAGGTGAGCTTTTGCCCTTCGGCCTGCAAGTTCCTGCTTCTCCTTCCCCAGCCTTCAACCCAGGACCTGGGAGCTCAAAGTGCCCAGCCTGTGGGTGGCAGTACTGTATCAGTATCTCTGAGGGCGCAGATGTGGTAAAGGAGGAGACAAAAATCAACAAGTCAACACAGATCTCTGCCCCAGATGGTTAAATGTGAAAAACAGATTTTTCTAAGGTACATACACTTTTCAAAGTGCCAGGCTTTTCAGCCTCTGCATTTGATTGGAAATGTTTCCATCATGGGGTGTGGAGTCATAGCCTTGGCCGCTCTCCGACCTTGCTGCCTAAGTGGCATGGAACACAACATGGGCTTCTGGATTTCAAAAATCAGAGTTGCTCCTCAACATAAGTATCTTCACGACGGCTCTGTGACAGTCATGCTGCTATCTGACAAGGTGGCCTAAGTACTGACAATGGTGGTAAATGGCAGCAAAGGGACAAGGGAATGATGATTTATTTTCCAAGAAGTGGTGCACAGATTCTGCTGAGAGAGGCAAGTGCACGCGTGCGGGATGGGTACTAACTAAAATTACAAACAAGGGCACAGAAGCAGTGGGAGGGCATGAGAGGTGCGCTGGCCGGTAGAAATGGGCCAAATCCCCATCTGTCTCAGCAGGGGAGACACGACAGGCAAAGTCTCAAGCTGTCAGATCAAGGCCCTGGGGCCTTGGCCCATTCCTGAGGCAGGCTTGATGAGCTATGACAGGGCGGCCCCTCTCTTCACTCGGTTCCCACCATATGTGAGAACCACTTTGATAAAAAAAAACATGAATTACAATCTTCTGTTAAGAATGCAATCTGCTGAGACTGAAGTTACTGTATTTATCCAGGCTCTAACCTAAGAGGATGGGAAGCATTTCAACTAATGCTTTCATTGTAATTCATTCCACTGACTGCAGTGCTACAAGAAAAACTTCCATTGGAAGAAAATCAAGAAAAATATTTAATAGAAACAGAGGAATAGAGGAAGGCTGCCAGAAGAATGGTCTCTTTCAGGTAGAAGACCAGAAACCTTATTTCCTATGGGACATCCGTACAAAGAGACTGGAGATTTTGAAAAATAATGTAACAGAATTTTTAAATGAATAATTAGGCCCAAAAGTAAGTAAAATGATCAGCAAATGTGTCAGTCGGTAAGCTGTCAAAATTCAGTCTTTAAATTAACATACAGCATTCAAGATCATACTTATGCAATATGGTTTTGTCTGATGATCCACTGGCACATATAAAGTAGATATATTTATACAGAGGAAACAGCTAATCAGATAAAGACTAGGAGAGCAAGATCTACGCACCTTCCCCTTGGGCCCCTAGAATGCACCCCAGGCATTTCGCACTTGAGTAGAATTCGACTCATTCTTCATGGGTAAAAGGTCCTTCTTGTCTTTCCCAGCTTTTTTCCCCACAGATTTTTCTTCCTCTAAGGATGAAATGTCCCAGTCGTCGTCGTCGTCGTCGACGTCTGCACACTTACAGGGATACATAGAGAATGAGTCATGTTTCTTAAAGAACCGCACCCTGAAAGCATTTTGCAGTTTAGACTGAGCAGCTGACACTGGATGGGCACTACCAGATGTGGTGGTGCACACCTGTGATCCCAGCACTGGGGAGGCTGAGGCAGGAGGACTGCTACAAGGTCAAGGCCAGCCGGGGCTACATAGTGAGATTCAGTCTCAAAACAAAACAAAACCAAATCACCTTTTTTGTTTCATGCCATGGAAATATACCATGAATTTAGAAAATTCCTGAAATACTATATTTCGTGCCCCTCACACATACCCTGTGGGAAGAGTTCTCCGCAGATGCAAGCCCACTCTCTCACTACACACATCTTCAGCTTTGTGTCATTTTTAGCTTGTGTAACACAAGTAGTACCAATGAAAGTATCTTGACAGAATGTTCTAGATTCCACAGATGAACTAGAATTAAATCTAGTGTTGGTGAAACCTTAGCAAGAGTGACCACTGTGGGAAGACACAGATACACTCCCCAGAACTGCTCGGAAAACATCCTAGCCGCTTCTCTGGTACAGACAAAAGTGGTATCACCTGCCTTGTCTGCCTGCCTGCCTCTTACTAGCATACGTTTGCATTACAGATGCTTCCATTCCTCATGTGGCATTGGCCCATGTGCATAACACACCTCCATTCCTTTCTTCATTCCATCTCCCACCACCTCCTGATGCCCTTACCATCTGAGGAAGATCTGTCTCCCTGCCTCCTATTGTCTTTTATCTTGCTCTTTACCTGGGTTTTGGCTTTCTCATAAGAAAAACCATGTGATATTCAAGCTCGTGTGTCTGACTTATTTCACTAAACACTATGGTCTCAAAGTACAGCTATTTTAGGGGGCTGGGGATTTAGCTCAGCGGCATAAGCACCTGCCTTGCAAGCAGGCAGTCGTGAGTTCGATCCCTGGTACCGATAAAAACGAAAAAGACAAAAAAAAAAAATTTAAAAAGTACAGCTATTTTTTTGGAAATGATTCTGTCTTTCTTTATGGCGCAGTAGTGCTTCATGGTGTGTAAATACTATATTTTCTTTATCCATCTAGTGATGGACAACATATAGGGCACTTCCAAAATTTAGCTGTTATGAACAGTGCTACAATAAACAAGCCTCGTCTACTGATTCACACACATCTCCGAAAGCATTTCTCCAGTGACTCCAGCTCTGATGAGGGGCTGAACCCTACTAAGTCCCCAGACTTGGATGTGGAGACCCCAGATTCCATCAGTCACAACTTTCTGTGTAGATGGCACGGAGTATCTGGAAGTATCAAGTGATACACATGAATTCCAAAAGCCTGAAGTGCAATATACTACTACAGATTAAATATTCTTTATCTACAATGCTTGGATCAGAAGTGTTTCAGGTTTTATAGTTTTTCAGGCTTTTGGGATACTTATATAGACCTTACAGGGTATGAGCACCCATAATAAAAAAAAAAAGGAATCCAAAGCAGTTTGCATTCTGAATTGTATTGATAGGTGCACACGTGGTCTAGGCAGTAAACCCAGGACCTCACGTGTGCTAAGAACAGGCTGCACCACGGACGTATAGCCCCAACCCCAATCTGAAACTCTTGAGCGTGATGCTGGTGCTCAAGAGGTTTCGGACTGTGGGCTCCTCAGGTTGGGGACATTCCATCTCTACCTGTCTTCACTCCAGTATCTTTGCTTCTCTATGAAACTGAAATACAGTCCCGAAAACAAAATAAGATGAAAATCTCGTCTTCCACAGGCTGAATGTTTGTATTTGTTTATGTTTTACTATAAAACATAATTGTTAAGCTATGTTCATCATCTGAGCATGGTGGAACATGCCTAAACTCCCAGCACTTGAGAGACTGAAGCGGGAAGATCGTTCCACATTCCAGCCTGGACTACACAGTGAATTGAAGCTCAGCCTTGAATACATGTCTATAAAACAAAACAAAACAAAATAGAAAAAAAATTCACCAAAAGATGATTTAATGCATGTTTATCAAGCAAAAATGATTTCACCTTCAGTTCTTCTTGTAATTCTTCTTTTATCATGAACACTTCAGTGACATTAATCCCACCAACTGGTTTATTTACATTTTTGTGGTGTGAGACCATCTTTTCAACTTTGCCAGTTAGGGTTTTAATGGCAGTTCCTGTAAGATATCAATAGAAATAGTCATGAAAAGTTTTCTACTTCTATGTTTCTAATTCTATGTGTCTTCATTTCCAAAATAACCTTACTGGCAATTCTGAGAGAGTCTAAAGAGCACATTATTATTATGAAAATAACATTAACTGAAGTTTTTAGGAGTTGGAAAAAAAAGGCTAAACACTTATACTGTAATTCCTTTGAAAAGTCAATCATGGTTGTCCAGACAAGATTCAATAAAGGTTTTATTCTGTAAAGGTTTTAAATCAAAAAAGGATGGTTTCACTCAAATATGTGGTCAGAAACTTGTATTTTAGTATTTCCTGCATGGAAGAATTGCTTAAATGCATTTTTCCAAAACAACATAAACTACTTTCAAATTAGTTATATTTTACATAATTACAGAGCTATACAATACATAAATTATATATAATAAAATGATATATCTGAAATGTTCAAACTATATAATTTAAAATTACACTGTAGAATTTCAGGCCAGGAATGGTGACAGATGCCTGTAATTCCAGCACTTGAGAGGCTGAGCAGGAAGATCACTGCAAATTAGAGGTCAGCCTAGGCTATACAGTGAGTTCAAGGCCAGCCTGGATTACTCTTCTTTTCAGCAGGTTATTAACAGTCACAGACTGGGTCCCTGCCTTTCTTCAAAACTGGCTTGGTCTGTGCTAAAAGACTGCACAGTGTATTAGAACCACCTCTCTTAAAGTCACCAAGTGTTAACGCATTACTTTGTGCCCTTGTGAATTAAGAGGTTGAAGTCCTCACCTCAGGGACCTGAAAAGGTGACCTTTTTGGAGAGGAGATATGTGAAGAAGTAGTCAAAGTAAGGTCCTGAAGAGTGAGCTCCAGTCTACATGACCATTATGAAACTGGGAAATGAGGACAGAGATGGATGCACAGTAGGAGGGTGACGTGAAGATCCACAGGGAGGAGATGGCCATCGAGGAGCCAAGGACACAGGCACAGAACAGGGCCTTCCCTTCAACCCCTGCCTAGGCCTTGATCTTGGACTTCCAACCTCTGGGACAGCGACACCCAGTTGTGGTCCTTTGTTACAGTGGCCCTAGGAAATGGATGCACCCAGGTATCCCCTGGTTGGTCTTCTCTCCTCTGTGGGCTTGAAGATGGATTGGTTGCTAAGTGCATCTATGTCACTAAGGGATGAGCCTTATCCTCTCCACACTCCCCCCACGCCGGTTCCCAGTTCTCTATCTCTGGGTGAGGAGAGGATATGTGTCTTAAATATGATTTTCAGGATTTTCAAAGCTCACCTGTAGGCTTGGGAGAAACATCAGAGTCCTCGACTTCACCTCCCTCAGTCCAGTCTGTGTCACTTTTGACCATGTTCTTTCCGATGCCATTCTGGTTGCTTCTAGAAGACTGCACAGGAAGTAACTCTGGGGACACAAATGCCTGGATGAAGCTGTCATCATCCTGCTCCTCCTCTGAACTGAAGGGAGGCGTCCTACACAAAGCCAAACCAAAATAGGGGTTCATACAAATCAAATTCCCCTTAAAGCGGTGAGAACTTTCTCAGGGAATTCCCAGGGAGCCTGGGACCTTGCGCAAGATGGCAGGGAGGCCCAGTGTTCTGTACGGCATTCTGAGGGCTCCTTCCGGAGCCTCCTCAGCCAGTCACACAGCATGACTCTCAATGTGGACTATAGTTGTGTCCTTTCCCCTCAAAACCCAAATGTGTGTCCTCTCAATATGCTTGCTCTTTACAGTCTTAGGCAAAACATTTCTCAGGGGAGAAAAGAGTACTTTCCACAACAAGACTACTCTTTTCAATTAATGTCATTACTTCCAGCTCACCTGTGCACTGTGGCATACAAAGTACTTTTACATACACAGCCTCATTTGTATAATCGAATGAATTATCATCCCCATGTTAAAACACAATAGCAGTTCGGAGCAGTGCTCATTCCTTTAAAGAATATTTGTAAGCACCTAAAATCCAGACACATCAGCCTTGTGAATCTTGATTCTCTCCTATGACCCCTCATAAAATAAAGCTCTTCCTATGAGACTGTGTCCATGAAAAGTACTTCTGAACAATGAATCACTGCTTGTCTCTACTACACGGTGCCTCGGAGAAGAGATACTTATGACCTCAGTATCTCCAGTAAGTCAGTGACAGGGAAATTCAATGACAATAAAACTAGTCTTACTCATCATTAGTGGCAGTAATATACCTAAAATTTATTGGGTATTCACAAAGCGCAAACACCAAGCTTGGCCCTTTTATTGTATTTTCATTTAATTTGTAAAATTATCATGTGAAAAAACCAGCATTACCCTATACTGCAGAAAAGTCTTAAGGAAACCAAGACTGGAGTCAGTCAATGGCTCACAGTTGAGGCTGCTTAGTGTCCTAAGAGAACCTCACAGCATACGGTCCAGGGCCACCACCAGCCTCCGCGATATGCCAGAACACAGAAACATCGTCTAAAACTTACACTAACATGGCTCCAGCCATGAAAACTCAGCACCATCCATTTGAGTCAAGTGTGCTTACTGAGAAATTACTCCACTGCTGGGACAGAAAGGAATACAGGAATGACTGAAGTGTGGACCCTCTTTCCAATGGGGACCATAATGTAGTCAAATGCTATTCCTTTACATAACTGATAAAGACATGTCACACATAACAGATCACTCATTAGGCTTTTTAGTCTCTGTGACTTTAGTTGGCCACAATGAGCATACCAATTTATAATGGAAGGACTTCTTAAATCCACCCACACCACCCCTCACAGCCTTGCCTAGTACTCACGAAGTAGATGAAGACTTTCTGGGAGGATGGTCTTCTATGATAGCTTTCTTAATTCTAAAAGCCAAAACAAACAAAAAAGCCCAGAAAAATGTTTGTAAAGTACACACATGAGTCACATACCTTAACATAAATTTCTATGAGACTGGCGATGTTTCTATTTTAACATATATTAAGGAAGGAAAGCAATGAGTCTCCAGTGTCAACAAGAAACTGCAAAGGAACTGCAAATACAATTATAGACTCAATGTCTGTGGCCCAACAAATGTGTATGGTGAAGACCTGATCACTGGTGTGATGATATCTGGTGGTAGAAACTTTGGGAAGTAATTAGGCTTAAGTGAAGTCTCCATGACGGGACCCCTTAGAAGAAGAAGACAGACCAGGGCTTGCTCTCCACTGAGTGGGACACAGTGAAAAGGTGGCTGTCCACCAGGCATAGAGGGGACCCGCAACAAAACTTGACCCTGCTGGAACCCTGCTGGAACCCTGATCTCAGATCCTAGCCTGTAAGAGAAACAATTTCTGCTATTTAAGTCACCCAATCTATGGTATATTATATGGTATCTTAAATTGACAAAGACAAACAATTAAAAAAAATGTAGGATTGAAAATACTCACTTTGAAACAGCCGTCCTATCAGTAAAAACAGGTCTTTGTCTAACCAACTGTCTGCTTTTCGGAGGAAGCTGGATTGCTTTGGGTAGTTCTCCAGTTGAAAGCGTGTCCATTTGAGAAACACTGTGCTTATCTGGAACAGCAGTGTCATTCATGAGTCCCCACTGCTGGTAGAGTCAGTTAGTGAAAATACTGCTTCAGCCTTGTTTCTAGGGTCTGCAGTCCAGACTCCAGGGATATTTTTTTCATATAGAAATAAAAACCCAGGCCAAACACTCACCGGCACAAACACCAAGAGTGCTACCAGTGAAGTGCCGATGTTCGTAAATGACTTAAAATTATGAAAGGCTGGTATATTAGGCTTCCACCTGAAGCAACAGGAGGGTAGTCGGTAGCCACCCTTACCTGAGGAGGGTAACGTTCTCTCTTCAATTTTACAGCTGAGCTGATGTTCCAGGAGCTCTCGGATTTGCGGAATGTTCGGTATTTGTTTTTCTCGCTCATGTCTTGTTGATTCCACAGTTCTCATCACAATATTCAAGTGATCACTTGGAATACCACGTATGTCCTGAAAGAATAAGATGCTAAAAAGTTTCATCTGCCTTATGATTTGGGTTTGTCGAACAAGGAAACCACACAACATTCAAGCTTGTATATCTAATTTATTTCCCCTAACATTATGGACTCAAGGTGCACCCATTTTCCTGTAAATCCTGAGATGTGTTTTGTTACATGAGCATTAATTATTACCAGTGTTGCAACTCATCCTTGCTGGCCCAGCTGCATGTAAAGTAGAAGGTGCCCCAACTTGTAACATATTGCCCAGGCCCCAAAGGAGCTCACGCAGTCGGACACAGCAAAGGTGTGTATGACTGGCAATAAACACTAATGACCACTGATGCCATGTGACAAGGACCAAAGGGATCCCAGGGTCAGCCATCTGAGCCTCTGTGGCCAGAGAAGGCTAAAGAGGGAGGCTGAGCCACGTCTTAATAGAGGAGTGGATAGAAAGGAGTTTTGAGACTGATAGGAGCAGGATTAGGATATGTTGTGGGGAAGAGAGGCACTGGTGAAGAAATGATAAAACTGTGTCACACAGATGAATCCTACAAGAGCCTGGGTGATCAGATCGGAAAAGGAGACTGAAAGCTAACAGAAAAGCCAAAAAGTCGACCACAGGGAAGACAGTCATCAGAGGTGACCTTTAATCATACAACTAGCAAAACTATAGAGGTGATCTGAGAAAATTAATGTGAGAGCCTAGACCAAAGAAAGTCAGCTGAAGGGCCAGTTATTTAATAACAGTGTCTCCCATCTTCAACCCCATCCCCTACCACATCCTTCTTCCTTCGGCCTAACCTATGCCAGGGAGCAGCCTCATCACTCAGCGGGCCAGGACAGATATCCACCATCTGATTAAGTGCTACCTCTAAGAAGTTTTCTCTGATCTCAGTTATTTGATCAGTCCCCCTCCCACTTTTCCTTCACTTCATAAAATTTCACTTCATAAAATCTGTCATCAGAAGTTTCCATCTGTCATCTGATCAGCTGCTCAATGCTTATCTTCCTATGCCTTGTAGATGGATGGAAGGACCTAGTACCTCACAAATGTCTCTCCTTCTCCACTCATATGAAAAGTTAAAATAATTGTTATCAGAACCTCAACAGGAGTTATTCTGGAACTGGGGAATGGTTTCTCTAAAGTCTACTTGGAAACAAAAAGTGGAGGACCTACCTAGAAATTTTTGAAAATAAGAAGCCATGGCCAATGGAAGATGTGTAAACACATGACAAAGTTAATATAATTAAATCAGAACGGCACTGGCAAAGGAATACAAGTAATGGCAAAAAAAAGCTAGAAGTCCAACAATAAATTCAAATACATATAGAAATTTCTTATATGATTAAAGTGTCATTTCAAATAAATGGGGAAAGGATGGTTTATTCAATGAATGACATTAGGACGGTCGCTATATCTGGAAGTAAAATTAGACTTCTGAATCATTATTTCTAAACTTAATTCCTAAAACTCAAATAGATGCAAAATAAAAAACCAGAAAACAATATTCCCAAACATCAGGGGGAAAAACTAGAATGTTTTTATAATCTTAGGATAAAAGGAATGATCTCAATTAAAATGAAAATCCGGAAGCCATAAGCAAACAAGGAAAATAAATAAATAAAAATTAAAAACTCTACAATTTGAAGAAGCAATTTGCACAGGAACCAGGAACATACCATGAGTATCTTTGATTTCCACTGCTATCAGGGTATTTGAAACTCACCTAAGAATTTATGGAGACATTAAACACTGACAAGACAAAGAGTTGGTGAAAAACGTGAAGTAACTGATTCTCATACACTGTTAGGGATGATGTGAGTTCACACACTTTGGAAAACTATCTAGCAGGAGCTATTCTATTAAACATATGCATAAAGCCAAGTGTGATTACATTGTGTAATCCTAGCACTTGGGAGTGTGAGGGAGGAGGATTGTTGTGAGTTTGAAACCAGTCTGGGCCACAAAGTGAGCTCAAGGCCAGCCCGAACTGCATAGTGAGATCCCATCTCAAAAAATCAATTTAAAAAGACAAAAATAAAAATAAACATATGCTTATCCTTTGACCTAGCAATTCCAATCTTAGACAAATACCCAAGAAAAAGATATATATCTTAATGACCTATACCTATCAAAAGACATGTACAAAAATTAATAGCCAAGAGGAGCCCAAACTGGAAACCTACACATCCATCACAAGGAAAGAGAGTACATTCATATAATAGACTACTACAATGTAATAAACTGCTGCTTCACGAAACAACAGGCATGAATAATAAAGACAAAATATGGTGCTACAGAGTATATGACTTTGCTTATATGAGGTTCAAGAATAAGAAAAACTTTGATGAGGTTCAATAAGTTAACTTTTCTGTTAACTCTGGTTAGAGTAGGGGGTAGCATTGATGAGGAAGAGATAAAAGAGGGTCGAAATATTTAATCTTATCTGAGGGCTGGCTAATATCACACATTGTTATACACATGTGTACATGTGTACAAACATCCATATACATACCAACTCACGTATATACATAAGTATATAAACATAAACACACAAATATATCCACGTATATTTACTCATTCATACATCCACATACTTGTGTAAGCATATATACAAATCTGTATACATGTATTATACGTTCATATCCATACACACCTGCACACACATACACACATAGTTATACATGGATATGTACATACACACTGACATGCATTCACACACTACACAGGACCATCTATAATGTAGATACATGCACATAACGTGCATGTATGTTTGTGCCTATGTGTGTCCATGCATGTACATGCATTCATATTTTTGCTTACACATATTTATACATATACATATATGCATGCACTTATATATTTATAGGTATATAAAATGAATGAAGTTGCTAAGATTTGTGTATTTTATGTATACCAATTAAAAATGTAGAAAGCAAAGGGTTTAATATGATATGATGCGCTGAAATATTCATGCTAGGAACAACACACAATACTGTCTATCCTACAAGTATTTAGTAAGTGTGATTGGTAAGAGGCAGTGACTTGGGGTTAGTATCAGAACTGTGTGCTACACTGCGACCATCCAGATGCAAGGCCTGTCCTAGTTTCTTCCTTATGCGCTGTGAGACCCTAATTGAGTCACTTAATCTTTCCACAAAATACAAATAATAATGTCACTTATTTCTGAGATTTGTCTCTATGCTTAATCGAGATAGTGTTTGTCAAGGTCTTAGGAACGCTCTAGGCACACAGTGAGCAGCAAGCAGGTATCTGACAAAGAGGTCTTACCAGCCTCTGCTCTGCAAATATGGACAGAACTCACACGCCTTCCTCTCTTCTCTGACCCATCCTGCTTTAGGAAACAGCACGTAACAAACCAGGAAATATTCCAAAAAGGAATGAACATACTGCATTAATGCCCAAGGTTTCCAGTTTCTCCACCAAGCTCTGCTCCAGCACTGTTTTTATTTCCTTAGTGAGGGACGGATTTGTCTTCAAAATTTTTCTTAAATTTCTCTTGTTACTTGATCTCTGTTCACTCTCCCTTCCTGAAATAAGGTTTAAAAATGAGTTAAAAGAGAATTAAACAAGTACATTATTAAATCTCTAAGCAGAAGACAGCCAGCAAAGCACCATTTTGGAACAGCAAGTAAGCATTTGTAATGGTTTTGAGTTTCATGGATATTTTAGTTCTTCAGCACAATATATTATGTTTACTGTAGCTTTTAAAACATTTGAAATCTGTTTCTGAAACTTCAGTGTCTTTAAAAAAGTCTTGATTGCTTGACTGAAGTACAGCTAAACAACTGTAAAACTATATGTACCTACAGATGCTGAACAGAAAAAAGTCTTTAAAAGCTTAATGTTTTACTCCTAGAACTATTTCCCAAAAAACCCATCACAAGTTTGGCTACAATCTTGTAAAGAAAAAGCTCAATTTATTTTAAGCTAAAAGTTTTAAAGTAATAAATGTAGTAGAAGCTAAGTGCATATAAAATGTAAAAATGTGATTACTATCAACTCAAATTATTTACCAGCATGAAAAAGATGTCAGTAAGAGCCATAGGAAGTGTGTATTTTGTCTCAAACAACCTAGGGTTAAAAAAAGAAACCAAAAGCTACAGCCCATATTCCTCTCTTTACTTTCCCTTCCCTATTTTTTGTTGCTGTTATGCGGTTTTTTGTGGTGCTGCAGATGGAACCCAGGGCCTCATGCATGTTAAACAGGTGCTCTACCACTGAGCTATATTGCCAGCTCATCCTCTAGCACTAGAAACAAAGTCTAGCTCAAGACAGCTTGGAGAAGAGTGTGATAGAATGAGTCTGAGTCCTCTTATAGGTAAGCAAAGACTCCTAAAAAGACCCAGTGTTTGGCAGATTCGGACCTTAGTGAATGTGCAAGCCAGATCTTGGGGATATTTACAACTGTACCATCCTTTGGAAGGCTCATCTCTGAGCGAGGGTTTCACCCAGCGAGGGCAGCATTGAAGGCCTTTTCCTAGGTATGAGGTGCAAGCCGGACCCAAGAAACACTCCCACAGCCTCACTGACCTCAGGAGATGGAACCCTTAGTCCTCTTAGTACCCCTCAGTTTTACAGAAAAGAACTGAAACAAATGTCTTTTGTTTAAAATGTTCTAGACATCTGTTCAATTCTAGTACTAAAGAATATTTCTATTAGTAAAATTTTACTTAAACCAAAATTAGTCTAATTACTATGTATATGTTAAATAGAAGAAAAAATCCTGCATAAAGACACTTTTTTGGGCAGGCGTGCAGTGTTAGGGATGGAATCTAGAACTCCACACATGCAATGGCCAGTGCCTTACTTCCCAGCCCATGAAGATACTCTATAAAAACTGTGCATGACATACATGACTTAAAAGTAGGAAATCGTCTTAAATTATAGTCTTAGCACTCATGGTGTTGATTGACTGTTGATGTTTTAAAAAAATTCTGAAACCACCTAAATAGCACATCTGTGCTAGGAACAAACAATCCTTCAAAATTCAGAGAGCTCAGCACCAGCCAATGTCACTTGCTGCTTTGGTTTCTAGTTGGCCATCACATCTGTTCCTGTCTAAAGTAAACAGGCACCGGGGAAAGCCTGGAAATCCCGCTGTCACCACTCTCTGCCCTGATTGTGCAAAGCTAATATTTGGCTAGTATCTCGGATGAAAGAGGAAGCACACAGAAGCAGAGGAGAAACAGAGGCTCTGGGCCGTGTCTATTGCGGACCACAAAAGAGAGGCAGGGGGTGCTTAGCGCAGCTTTGCCGTATTTAGAAGTCTCAAAGCCTCTGACGTCCGCTATTCTATTCATTCCCTCATGTGTCCAGAGTCACCCTCAACCCTGATGCCAAGCTCCTTTCGGTGACCTAATTACAGCAGGTTAAAATGTGCCATTCCCTCAAATCCATTTTATGTTTGTTCTGTGCTGGTAAACCATTCGTGAATAACATCAAAAGAGTTGGTAGGTGAGTTTTTCAAGACTGGAGCTAGCTGAGGGAAGCAAGGAAAAGAAGAGTTCACAAAGGAAAAATAAAGCTTTTTAGGTAAAGACACAACCATCTGAAAAGACAGCACAGGTAAAGCTTTTTGTTAAACTGTGTATTTCTCGGCACAACCAACAAGACAAAACTTTCTCAACTTTAGCATGTCCTCTGGTAAAAAATGGAAAATGAACGCAAGCAGAGGGCCAGGTCAAAGCACAATGTGACCACTTATGCCACACACACAGCGCCCATTTATGATAATAAGCAGATTACAGCGCAAAAAAGCAAGTAAGCGAATCTCAGAATTTCTAAACTGTGTCGTCTAGTGATTGACCTTCCTTCATTTTTCATAGGGGCATACTAAAGCCAGAGAAGTACTGGGTGTCCCCAAAGGCCATGCAGCCAGTCCTGCACAGCTGTGTCAGCTGGCTTTCTCCAATTGTTCCTTGCATTAACGTATAGAAAGCAAAAAACCCTGAATTTTAGTTCTCACCTGGCCATTAACTAAGCCCAATAACCTAAAGCTGACTCCCAAACCCCATGTTCCAAATTTTTGAAAAATCGAACAGGCTCTGAGAGTCTTTGTGGTCCTCACAATCTAACATCCTAGAAGACAGCAAGATCAAATGTGGCTCAACACCACTGTCAAAATGCAAATGCTACGCGCAGAAATGTGTGCACATGTTTGGGTACTTCTTAGTTGACAGCCACAGTGTTTTTGCAGAGCACTGCCAAAACTCAGCTCCGCCAGCATGCATCTGCAAAGTGTTAGCACAAGCTGAGGAATATATTGATGGTAATTAATCTACTGCCAGCACGCAGCCACTGAGAGGTGCTAAAAGAATCCAACAACTGATGTTTGGGGGTGGTTTTCATGGCCCTCAGCACTCTCCTGTCTCTCCCTAGAGCTGCACCTTAAAACATGGAGGATGGCAAAGACTGTTTCTTTTCCTGCTCCGGTTGGCCAACAACCAGTGATGGTAATTTTGGTGCCCACATGGCAACAACCCCTGATGATGCCTGCCAGCAGCAATTCAGAACCCACGTTTCATGCCGGGCAGGCTCGCCACTGCGGGGAGTAGAACCTGGGGCTGAAGGCAACAGACTCTGCAGGTGATGGCAGAGAAGTCCCTCCCTCCCCGAGCCCTTGGTGACTTGTTTTTTAAATGTGTGAACCACAAGGAGCTGAAATACTATGCTGAACCTGGGACTCATTTCCCAAATTCTTCAATCAGTAAGGGATTGTGTGTCTCACATTTATAAACAATATGCGCACAGGAAAAAGGAAGGATGTTACACGCAGGTAAAGTGACATGTCATTCAGAAGCCATGCAGGGTGACATTTATTCATCCTGGCTCCAGGAAACCACCAGAATGGTTGAAAATCACTTAAACGATGATGTGAAACACTATTTCTTTACAGACAAGGCTCACTATCTCACCTGCCTGCACAAAACAAAGGAGACTGTAAAGGGGGCAAAAGAGAGGGTGGTCTGAGCTTGGGGCTGCATATGCAGCTGGACACTATTACACAGCCAGCTAAATGCTGCTAACATAGGCTTTAGGCCCAGGGTTTCCATGTTTTCTGGTCAGAAATCAGGATGTGGGTGTGAAATATTTTGATTTTGAAATACTGGCAACTGATGGTACAGTAGGGTCAATACTGTGAGTTCACCAAGTCCCAGCCTGTGAAATGGGCTGGCCCACGGGCATTGCCTTCCACGCCTAGGCACCAAACACCCTTCAGGCCACCAGGGTGACTGCCCGTGACCCACCACTCCCTGCCTTTCTCTGGGAGCACAACAAGGTAAGCAGCCCATTAGAGGATGACAATTTCACTGATTAAAGTTATACAGCTTAGACTGCCTCTCAATTTCCCTCAGTAACTTTTTATTTTTCTATTGTAATTTTCCACACTCTTGTTTTGAAACAAACAAGTTTCTAAACATTGCAACAGCAGTTACACAAGAATAAGACTTTAGGCAACCAAAATAAGGCATTTTAAAAATCAGTGACAAAATTGGGTGTGGCAGCACATGCCTGGAATCCCAGCACTCGGTAGGCTGAGGCACAAGGATCACCATGAGTTGGAGGCCAGCCTGAACTGCATAGTATGATCCCTCAAAAAAACCAAAAAGTAAATAAAAAAATCATTGGCAACTGTGAGCAATTATTTGAATGAGAAGACACAAAGTCAAGACAAGTTGCAAAATACATGGAAATAAAATAAATCCTATTAAAAACATCAAAAAGTACTGATAACTCTAGCAAGACCAAGACTTGAAAATACATATCATGTAGATGTCATAAATATGCCTACTTTACAGTTTATAGTCTTATAAAAACTTTTTTAAAAAAAACTTGGTAAAATTCTCAGCTGGGCTTGGTGGCACATGCCTATAATCCCAGCACTGGAAAGGCTGAGGAGGAGGGTCACCACAAGTCTGAAGCCAGCCTGAACAGACTAGGGAAACCCTGTCTCAACAAACAAACAAACAAAAGAACACTTTGGTAAGATTCTAGATCATACAGAAATTGTCAGATGATTTAGAGTTTATACATTAAAATATACAATTTTACTTCTTGATAAAAATTACAAAGCTAGAACCTGCATGTGCATTAACAATTTCCATTTTCTTAAAGAAGTAATATATGGTAAACTGTTACTATTAATAAGGGAAATTTATAATAAATTGATTCAAATGTAAGTGTTTTCAGAATCTACAAGTCTAGTATTAAAAACTTTATAAAATTATACATTTTCCATAAACTTTAAAAATTAATAATAATTTTTAGACGTGCCAAGCAATATAAGCAGTGATTTTCTCTCCCAAAACATGTAGTAACTCCTAAACTTTACCATGCAGGTATCTTTTTTTTTTTTTTTTTTTTTTGGTATCGGGGATCGAACTCATGCTTGCCAGGCAGGTGCTTATTCAGCTGAGCTAAATCTCCAGCCCCCATGCAGATATCTTGCACATAAATTTCCACATTCTGAGCTTAGACTTGTTTTTCTTGATATTTAATTTGAAAATGGGCACTTTACTCACTGATTTCAGATTTAGGGTATGAGAGATTACCACTGTGATATAAAAAGTTCTGTACCATTGGTATACCACATGTGAGTCAATCTATCATCTGATCAGAAATTGAAATAAAGACTTTTTTGTTTTCAAGTTCCCTACCCAGGAAATTTCTTATTAACCTACCTGCAAAAGAATGACACAGAGCAGGAAAAATAAATTACAGAAAGAAGATAATAATAAAATGTAATCCTAACCTACATGTCTTTCCTATTTTGGTATGAACCACTAGCTTGTATTTTCAAGGCTTGGCTTTTAGCATAAAAATATCATCTATGCAAGTAAACCCTGATCGAGTTCTTTGTTACCTTTTTCTTCCTCTGAGAGCTCTTCTATTGGTTCTAGTACGTGCGACGAGAATGCCTGTTCTATTAATGAGGAAAAATAAGAATAGTGTAAACAGGACAGCAGCAAAGTAACATTAGTTTCCTCTCAAAAAGCATTTGATGATACTATTCTTAAACTGTACATGACATTTACATAGCAAGAGTCTCCTGGGACAAAAAGATCAAGGCAGTCGGTTCAAACTGGTCACTTTCTCCTAGAATCTTCAACTTCTCTGTATATTCCATTAACTCCACTTTCAGAAAATTATTTCTTTTAATATACTAGTCTTATCCATTGATTCCAGGAGGCACAATGAATATTAAAAACGAGTACTCAACAAATTGTTTTGGCTGGGAAGGTAGCAAGTAAAGAGGCATTTGACCCTACCAAGTTCCGGCTTGTGTGTGATGAGTACCAGGACAAAATTTTTGCATCAAAATGTGTCAAGTAACAAATTCCATGAGCTTCAAAGCAGTGAGGTACTGAGATATGACTGTGATCAAGTTAAAGCTCTTCGTCCATCAACCTATTTAAAACACAAGGGCATGACTGCAAAATATCTTCATTACTTATGAAATGTTTTGATCAGGTGTATAAATATTTCAACAGAAAAAAAAAAATCTTGAGGCCCTGGAATCCAAATTGCCCCCAGCAGTATTCCTAGGGTCTTCAGGTGCTAGAACCAGGACACAGGTCAGTAAGTAGCACGAATAAAACGCTTTCATCATTCCTACATGCCTCCACACGCCTAACCCAGCTTTAAACTCCTATCTGGCTCCTGGAGCTTGGGTGGGGGGTAGGGGAGAGGAGTGAGGAGTGGGGGTGGGTTAGAGAAGACCCTCACCCCGTGGCTAAGGATTGATTGCTCCCAATGGCACCCCAGACTGGCAACTGCATCCCAGGACATGAGATCTCTGGTGAATCTTCCCAGGGAAGTGTTAATTGCATGCATAAGGAAACCTACCAGCAGCATGAATAAAATCTAGCTCTCCCCTAGAAATGGGGAAATTTCCGTCATGGGGAAGGTATAACGATGGCAGTCACGCATTAAACATGGGACAAAATGCACCCAGCAAGTCTGGCTTGGGTAGTGCATGGCTCACTCACCTGCAGCTGGGAGACCGACACACAGCACTTCCTCATCTTGCGTCCCACCCACCCCCAAGGTGAAGGTCATTTCACTCTACCCTACGCCCTAGAATAGGTGATGGGCCAGGATGACAACGGGTAACAATTGCAGAGGGCTCGCCCAGGCAACCAGGAATGTAGCTAAGATACCAGGGACCTAACGTTCCTACTTCAAAGGTCTACTTTTTAATTTAAGGTTATTTATGGTATTGTATTACGAATGGGTGAAGGAAGAGTGGATAGGTAGATGGATAGATAGATGGATTCAATATACATAAAGTGGCTCTTATAGCTTGACCAGCAGCCCAATCAATATACCTAACAATGGCTATCTGGGAGAAATCTGGGAGAAAGTTACAGTACTTTCAGATCAACTGTTGGAACACAGCCTACTACTAGGCAGGAGTCACTTTAATTTTGAAATACAGACCTGGACCCCTGAAGGAACATTTAAGTCCATCCAGCTAACCACAACTACTGAACATCAAAAATGCGCCTTTCGAATTTGTTATGCAGCATCATGATTCTCAAATTATACAAACAGTCTACTTTACTAGTTAGAATTGCTGAAAACAGAGATTTAGGAAGGACAACCAATTTCAGCTTTAAAAAGTCACATGGTTTATATTTTACATACTTTGGTTTATCAATGGCTTTCACCTTGAACCAGGTTTATCAGCATTTCACTTCGTTAACTCACTGTAGAAGCCCTGAGGAAGGACTTTGTCTGACTCACCCTTCTCTCTCTATTGTGACCACCCTTGGCCATACACAAAGCAGGAGTCCTGCTACTCATGACTTCCCGATGGTCTGTGGGGCAGGAAGGCAGGCAGGAGCAGCTCTGAGGAGTGCTGAGCAGAAGTGCCATCATTACGAAGAGGCACGCTAACTGTTCTCTACAGAACAAGACTCCATGGAAGTTTTTAGGCTCGCTCAGGGCATAAATCTAGGGTGTCAGACACTTGCATAAATCTCCCTTTGTAGGTGCATGCAAGCACAGTCACTTGGCAGGGAGTAAGCCTGTTGTCAACTAGAGGGTCTAGCCCCACTGGACTGAGATGGGTCTTCAATAGTTCTCAACCCATTTCTGCAATGGTCCGGGCGATGGTACTCAGAGGCGAAACCAGCTTTCTTTTTAGTAAGAGTCACAAGACACCTCAACTCTAAAATGCTCCACTTGTCACACACTGGACAATAAACTATTGCTCAAACCAAAGCACTGTGTTAGGTTTGGTATTTCAAGATATAAACTACTTATATAGAAAAAAATATAGTAACTATAAAGTGTAATTTAAAAACAAGTTTCTGCTTCTTGAAAATCAACTATTACACATTTAAAGGTTCAGGGCAGTTCCCCATTTTTAACTACTCATTTTTGTGGCCTTTATTCTAGCTACACCATAAAATCGGGTGCACAATGACCCCTCACAACATACACATGAAATTAAAGGAGATCTTTACACACAGCTAGACCTTAGCAGGTAAACACAGGTGTTGAGAAGGTGATTCTTCCACCTCACTGTTACAAGACAGATATTTTACCTGTAAGATAAAAGGTGTCTACACTACCAGACCAACCTAAGCAACTGGCATATGCACTGGTTTAATAACAACAAAGTATACTGTATTTTGTAGGCACTGTAATATCACAACTCTTTGAACAATATGCTCTTCTATGATGTGTTTTCTAGGAAAAGTTTAGTGCATGACAATCAAGCATGATTACCTTTCTTCTCCAGAATCCATGTTTTCTTACTTCTTTTTCTACTGAGTGCCCTAGAATCAGAATTTACTGTCTACATTGCTCAGCTTGTGTAGGATTTTCTCAACACTCGTGTATAATAAGATCCAGCATGTGGAGAATTTATTTATTACACACTGTGATCAACACAACTGACCCTCATGAAATGATCTTAGGAAAAAAATATAAGAAGTAATCAAATACTTAATGAGTCAGTCCTGAATAAAAAGGGTCATCACTAAAGACTATCATATGATATTCAGGGAAACAAAACATCCCACAAAACTGACCACTTAGATCAGAGATTTAAGTCTAAGCTTTTAAAAAGCCTAAAGCAAATGCAGAGTGAAGTGTCATTAGATTCTGGAGTATCTGAAGATAAGACAGGAAAAAGATAATCCTCTTCCCACTTGGATTCAATTCTAATATATGGAAGACCATAAGGAAACACTAAACAACATACTATGAAAACTATACACATATTTGTCCTATAAAAAGCGAAATATGACTACAAATATTCACCTCATCTACTGGATCATGTTAATAACAACTAGAAACTTTTAGCTTGGTTCAAGAACTGAATTCTGGCAACAATGTCATCTAGTGAAATTTGATCCTGCTTATTTTCTTTGGTTTCCACCATATACTTTTTTCCCTCTGTATTTTCCTAACCAGTCACTGAAGTTGTTCTTTTAGAGGTGATCTGACACTACACTGAAAGTTACACAAACAGTCTCCCATGCCCTGTGGCATGTGCTAGTTGGCTAATCTAGTAGCAAGTCACCCTCATTCTTACTCACTAGCTACTACAAAAACGATAAATAATCAAGGGAGCACTCAAAGTTAAACATTTCTATTTGTTGGTGTGACAGCAAATACATTTAATTCTTTATAACTTGGTTAAGTACAGTTAGTTTGTAATAGCAGTATATATGAACTCTGCAGTTTTAGAAACTGTTTTGTAATCACTAAAGCATTTCCGTTTTACATAATTACCCCTACAGAACTCTGGTTAATAAATTATCTAACTCAAGGTGAAAACTGCACATAAATGCAGAGGCTACTGCTGAAACTTACCATGTGCCACTGTCAGATTTGATTTGGCTTCCAGAGTCTGAGGGGCTGAGGCATTCACTGAAACAGCATAAAAAGGAAAAAGTTCCATCAAGATGTAAGCATCTGAACATGCTGACCAAACGCTTCTTGAATTAGTCATTATACACATAGACCATGAGCAACAATGTTCAAAGGAAGGCATTACAGAACTTTAACTAATTTTTATAGTAGCTTCTTTGAAATATAACTCACCTTTTAAAAATATGATTCAGTGATTTTTAGTATGTTCATAGAATTGTGCAGCATTAATCACCATCTAATTTTAGAGCATTTTCGTCATCTCAACCCCCAAAATACTTACACATCATGTCTCATTTCTGCCCTCAGCCCCAGCTCCTGGCAAAAATTAATCTTCCTTTTGTTTCTATACATTTCATGTACATGGACTTATACAGTCTTTTTTGGGTTGAGCCCTGAGAGTTCAGGGCTTCTGCACTGAACTACATCCCTAGCCCTTCAAAAAATTTTGCTTTAAATTGAGACAGGGTCTTGCTAAGTCACTATGTAGCCCAAGCTGGGCGCAAACCTGCAATCCTCCTGTCTCAGCCTTCTCATCTCCCTCAGCCCTACTCCCTCCCCTTTTCCACCTCCGACATCTTCAGCTTTGAGAAGCACCTGAGAAGACTGACGGGTTCAAACCATTATCATGTTCCAATCAGCTGTGCCAAGTTCCAGAACTTGCTCAGTAATGTTCTTTGGTCACTACAGAGCCCTCTGGTGAGTCCTGACCCCATGAGAATTGCGTCTCTCTGTGGCCCGCCCAGTCCTGGCCCCTCCAGCCATCGGACCTCTGTGTATGCAGCTGACCTAACTGTCCTCTGTCCCACTCCTCTTCTCCGTCCACCCCACAGCTCCTTTCTGTTCCCTTACTCTTCTCTGAATAGTAATTAAAGTATCTCAACCACTTAACTATTGTTTTAAAAAACAACCTGTCAGGTTTTAAATTGTAAAGACCATGTCTTTTTGGTGAATTGCTGAACCTGACAGATCTGGGAGATAAATCAGGTGGCCAAGCCAGCCACAAGGAGGACAGATCAGAACCTGCAGCAGAATCTCCACTGTGTCAAACCATGGACGTGGCCACTGCATGTGGCCATGGCCACTGCACGCAGCCACACAGACCACGGTGCATCACAGAGCGACACACTAGAGTGAGGCCGAAGAACTGCCAGTCATCACCTTGTGAGGGGAACCGTAGAGTAACAGGCACAACCAGCCAGAGCCCCACAAAAATCACATGACATTTATAATCTTGGGTTCAGCCAAGGATCAACAGATAAATTATATAATACCCAAGAGCACTGGTTTTCAGAGGAGTCTCTAAAAATAAAAAATAAGTAAAAGTTACAGCTTGGATCATTGTTTTATTTGAAATAATAGATGTAGAGAGTCCAAAGCCCATCACAGAAACTTACTAGGTACAGTTGGGGCAGCTAACTTAGATTCAAAAGGTTGCCGGGTTAAAGAATTTCCTGAAATAACAAAACAAAAAAATGTTAATAAAAATCACAAGCTATGCATTAAATTTTGGCAGTATTTAACCCAGCTTTTCTCTCCTAGAAAAACAACAAATGAAATTTCAAATAGAAAACACGCCACCCAACATAATATATTAAACATGGATCTTTTAAAACCCATACTTTCCCTAGAATTACTGTAGTCACATATTTATGATATACAAGTAATTATAATTAGGCAGATATTTTTAAAAATATTTTTTGGTATTTTTTATTTTTTTAATTAGGGAGGTATTAATAATAATATAATTTTTTTTTGTTTTGTTTCGTCTTTTTGAGGCAAGGTCTCACTATGCAGTTCAGGCTGGCCTCTGGCTCATTTTGTAGCCAAGGCTGATCTCAAATTTGCAACAAACCACCTGCCTCAGCCTCCCGAGTGCTGGGATTACAGGCATGCACCACCATGCCCAGCTATGATTAACATTGTTATATACTATTTTTATGTAGGTAGCCCTTATTACCTGAGTTATCACTATTCTAAAAGAAGTTAAAGGCAAACTACAATATTCTTTTTTACCAGTCTTCATCTCAAAAGTGAAGGAAACCCACCTCATATATCCCAATACCCAACCCCAGCCTCCATTAAGTAGGCAAAGATTCCTGAACAATACAGGAACCAAGCAGTACAGGAACCAAGGCTAGACTCTCCGGGCACAAGGCCTGGCAGAAGCGGGCATCTTTAGGCACCAATGTCAGGGGCTCTGAGTTCCCTCTTGGTTTAGCTCCTGACCAACAGGAGACAGGTGAGCTAGCACTGGTCCCGTCGGTAGGTTATGTTTACCCCCACCATGCTCAGAGTCAACCTCCAAGCACAAACCACCACAATTCAGGCTAGAACGGGAAGCCCTCATAGAGCTTTAGAATAACTGGCTAGTAAGATGGGAAGAGCTGACACCGATGTGTGGTTGGTAACTGGGATGCCCCACAGGGGTCATCCTGCTTCATCCTCAGAACAAGCCTGTGAAAACTGAGGGGAGATCTGTGGCACAAAGCACCAAAGATGGGCATCACACCCCAATGAAGGACCCTGTGCTTTAAAAAAAAAAAAAAAAAAGAGCTGAAGAAGTCCCTTTTTTTTTTGTACGAGGCATTGACCTCAGGATGCTGTGCTCGCCAGGCAGGTGCTATGCCACTAAGCTATATACTCAGCAAACAAACCACCTTTTTTTTGGTACTGGGAATCAAACTCATAGCCTCACACCTGCCAGGCAGGCACTGTGCTGCTAAGCTATATCTGCAGCCCCGGATCCGGTACTTTTAATGCTAATTCTAACCCATTAGAGGTGAACATTACTGGGCAGGCACAATGTGTTCTGATTTTAAACTATCCAGCAACAGTGTAAAAGTCTGTGAACATCTTCAGCTTTCTTTGTTATGGTAAGAGAGCTCCCACATAAAGGCAGATCTCCCGGATCACATTATACCGGGGAGCTCCACCGTGGACATATGAGTCAGCGAGGCTCGTAGTCTCTGCGCAGTGGGCTGGCACAGGGCTCCCGTCCACTCACCTTTGGGCTCACTGACGCTGCCCAACGGTTTACTGGTGAACTCTTTAATCTGCAAAGAAAAGCAGTCTTTGATTGATTCCTGCTTGAGATGGAACAGGAACCGACAGGATAACGGCTGGAGAAAGTTGTTAATAAATTAACAATTTTGCTAAATGATCCAAAGACACAGAGCACAGGCACCTTAAAACACAAAGGCAAGTTTTATCAATAAATGGATATTTGAGTTTGGCTGCTTCCTATCAATCTTCAAGTTTATTTCTAAATTCTAACTGAATCAATCTGCTCTATGATATTTTCAAATACCTTTATAAATTTATTTCAACATACAAGTTATTGAAAGGGAGGAAACAGTCCAGTTTTACCTTACACAACTTCCAAATGGTTTAAACTAAAAAAGCCATGTTCTATCAGTAAACTGCGATGCTTAAAGAAGCATGATGCCAGGCAACTGCCAGACATACCTGCTGCCTCTGAGTGATGATTAGCTCGTTTTGCTCCTGGAGCTTCTGGCCTAGTTCTTCTATCCTTTTCTTATAGAAAACATTACTCGCATTTAGATCCTCTATCATTGAGGTTCGAAGCTTTTCTATATGTGACAGGAGCTGAAAAATAATTGAGGTGCCATTTGTAAACTACATGTACAATGCTTTCTTCTTGCCAAATTGTTTGTTTTTTGTTTGTTAAGACAGGGTCTCACTATGTAGTTCAGGGTGGCCTTGAACTTACTACATATCCCAGACTTGCCTCAATTCACAGTGATCTTACCTCAACTTCCCAAGTACTAGAATTACAGGCATGAGCTACCATCCCAGCTCTGCAGATTTTATGTGCATGCCCTGACTGGCCTGCTGGCTTTATGCTATTTATTTGTATCAAGTCACTGGATAAATCTTCAATCACTGTGTCAAGAACACGGCTCTAAGAAGTGCTTCACTTTTTCCTAGGGAGCTCATGCCCAAGGCTGAAAAAACTGGTAGCTGTTAACATGAGCACACTATCCAAATTCAAGGGCAACTTCCAAATTCAAAGCCAGCCTGGGCTACATAGTGAGTTCGGTGGTAGCCTGAACTACGCAAGCAGACCTAGTCTTTAGACATAAGCAAACAAAAAATAAATTAAAAAGTTAGTCAATAAATAGTCCCCAAGGAAAAAGGGGTAGAAGGGATTAGTAGCTGAGGAAAAGAAAGGAGGAGAGGGAAGAAGAAATTTTGTTGTTTGTTTGCTATGCACTGGGATTGAACTCAAATACTTTATTCTAAATTACGCCAGACTCCAGTCTTTTATATTTTTTTTTCTATTTTCTCACAGGTTTTCACTAAGTCACCCAGACTAGGCTTTACCTAATGATCCTCCTGTATTAGCCTCCGGACTATTGGGATGACGGATGTGCACCACCATACCCACCCCTAATTTAGTTTTTCATCGACATTGCTTTGTGCTAGATACTGTGTTAATAGTCACCTCACATTGTTTAATACTCATCGCGGTGTTATGGAGACTTGTTCTGGCCTCAGCACACAATAAGGAAACTCAGGTATAGAGAGATAAGGGAACTGGCCCACTCTCAGGTCCCTGGATGGGACAGAGCCCAGACTTGAACGTCTACATCTGGCTTCAAGGTCAACCCTGCAAGTCCATGCAGGGCCTGCGCTTTGTGCTCCTGTGAGCAGGCCAAACACTGAGCTAAGCCACGCTCCTGAGTGAAACCTCAGAAGGCCATTTTGTGTGCTCTTGGATACTAAGAGTCCCTCCAAAGACACTGTCGAGGGCTTCTAACTATACTCACACAGACCCCTGGAAGAGCACCCCCAAAAATGGTCTGAGAAACACCAAACTAGAAAAGCCAGGAGAAATGTGAGGTATACCTTGGAGCTGATGGACAATTTGGGAGAGTTGTCCCAAGCCTCAGTAAGCCAGGGGCCAAAGGGAAAAAAAATAAGATACGATATCATTTTGAAACTGTAATTAAGCGACTAGAAAGGTGATATACTGTCTCAAAAAGCACATGGCTCTTGAGCCCGTTATCTTGTTTCTCATTTCCAAGCTCTTTTCCTCCACCAGGACCCACAGACCCCCATCTTCCCTTCACTGTGAGACCATCCCACAACCTCCCGAGCTCTTGGGCCTCTTCTGCTGGAGAAAAGGGTATGCCATCGCTTATCTGTGACTCCCTTTGAATGACCAGTTTCAAAAAAAAGTGAGAAAGACTGCCAAGAATCTAGGTAAAGCAATAAAAAGCTGGCAAAGGTAACTTATCCTGAACAGGGAAACACAATATGTGCATTGTGGGAAGAGTAGGCACCAATCATGTGGAATAATTATAGCTAGGTCTCAAGCAGAGATTACTGAACCCCTCTGTTAGGGTTCAAGAGAGGAGGAGGAGAGGCCAGCAGTTTCTAAACAGCCAAACCAGCAGACAAGGGAGCAGCGCAGCCTGGTGGTGTGTGTGGCCATGCAGCTCCAGGCCTGGGTTACAGGAGGCCTTGCCTTCCTCCTCTGTGCCACTGACAGTCGGTCTTATCACAACTGGCGACGAGTGTCGAAACCACAACTTGCATGCTACTCCAGCCACAACGTCAGTCTGGCTGCCACCCACTGGCAGTCAGCAAGTATCGAAAGAGTGCCAGCTATATTTCAGGAACATCAATGGGTGCTAGGAAGACACCAGAGGGCTCAGTAGATGCAGCTCTTCATTCATAAGGGGGAGAGACGGACAATAAGCAAGGAGACAAACTAAAGCAGTAATCAGAACTATGTTTGTGCAGTGATGTGTGCCACAGAAAAGGGTGACCTTGCCAGATGGAGTGACAGAGAGGACCTGACGTGGAGGCCCAGGAGCGTGGGGCAGTCAGGATCCTAACAGGGTCCTCAAGGATGTATCCTCTAATGTACAGACACTAAATGCACCCTGATCCTCGGACTGGAAGGAACCTATGATGTGCAGGTTGATTTCCAAGTCCCACTCTGCTGACTCTGAGTTCATGAAAAGGAAGACTTTCTTGGGGGGGCTTTTCTTCTTCACTGAGTCCTTTTCAACAGTTTCAAGTCCTTCCTGAAGGGGAGAATGAGAGCAGGAGACACTCTCCAGCTGGCCTTTGGGAGACCAACAACTGTGCTGAGAAACGGAATGGAGAGAGACAGCCTCTAAGAGCCGAGGGTCCCAACCCAACATTTCCTGCCAGAGCTCTAACAGGTCATAGCCCAGTTGATGCCCCCAAAGGGGCTTGTGAGTCCTTGACAGGAGGACCCTACTGCCCTATGTCCGGACTTTTATTCCATGTAAACAGTGCGAGAACAAATGCAGATTGTTTGTAGTCACTAAATTTGTGGTAATTTGTCACAAAGAATACAAAGCTAATCTGGAGGGGAAGGGAAGAACCAGCCATGTGACCAGCAAGAGAAAGGAGTTTCCATTTGTTAAAAACACAAAGTGAGAATAGAGAGAGAAAGAAACAGGATGAGGCTATAATGGAGGTCAACCAAGCAGCCAGATTATTTCACCTACTCTGTGGAGACAGGTTAAGAAGGGGGAAGGCTGGAACAGGGGAGACCAACTTTATAGCAAGCTCTGTTTAATCCTAGGCCACTTTGCCATGATCATTCCTCATGACTCCATCACTTCACATCTTCAATTCTTCTACTTTGCTACAATCACATGGCAATCCTCAAAGCAGGGATTGTTTCACGTTTTCTTAGCCACGTGGTCCACAGTGATGCTCAGAAACTATCTCCTGCGCTGAATCACTGCCTTGGATGACATAATCTGCAGTCTATACACACTGCTGTATGAGTGTATATGCATGTATGTGTGTGCTGTATTTGTGTGTCTGTGTATAAACATTCTAAATTATTTATAAGACTAAATGGTATTACAAATGGAAGGGAGGGAAAAAAATCATGGTTCTTATTTTCTTCCTAGTAATGTCTACTTTTCTCACCAAAGTTCTACTAGAACGTTCTACAAGTGTTAGTGGGATATTTCTCTTTTATTTGTTTTATTTTAGTACTATTTAGTCTTTTCTTTCTTTCTTTTTTAATTCCTCAGTGTTCATTTTTTTTTTTCTTTTTGTTGCTGCTGTTTAGACAAGGTCTCACTGTATGTGGTCCAGGCTAGCCTTGAGCTCACTATGTAGCCCACGTTGCCCTCAAACTTCCAACAATCCTCCTGCCTCGGTCTCCCAAATGCTACGTTTATAGGATGCAGCACCATGCCCAGCCAGTGTTCATTTTACTTAACAGGAACACAAGCTAATGAATTTTACGGTCATTAAAACATTCATCATGCTAGTTATTATACACATCTAAACTGTATAATCTGTCATACACTATACTTAGTACTATGCTAAGTACTTCTTTTCAGAATCAGGCATGGTGGCACAGGTCTATATAGTCCCAGCACTTTTGGGAGGTTGAGGAGGATCACAATTTCAAGCCCAGTCTGAGCAACTTATCAAGACCATTGTTTCAAAATAAAAAAATAAGGCCTTGGGTTCAATCCCCAGCACCACCAAAAAAAGGAAGGAAGGAGGGAGGGAGGGAGGGAGGGAAGGAAGGAGGGAAGGATGGAGGGGAAGAAGGAAAAGAAAGAAAGAAAGAAAGAAAGAAAGAAAGAGAAAGAAAGAAAGCAAAGGAGGGAAGGAAGAAAAAAGAAAGAAGTCTTTGTAGGAAATGTGCAGGAAGAGGAAATATTTTTCTCCATCAGAAAAGATTTACAAAGGATACAAAAGGGACAAAAGACAATTTCAAGTGAAAAACGAGCCAGCTTTCCTATTTTAAAATCTTCTCTAATACATCTACTTTAGATTTTCTGCATCAGTGGAAATATATTTTAACATGGAAATTTCTGACCTTTCCCAGTAAAAGGTAATTTTATTTTATTTTCATTAAAGTGATTTTAATGTAATCAGTCTTCACCTTTATTTATATTACAGCTTTGAAATGGAAAAAAATTAGAAACTTATTCAGCAATGGCAAAAGGATCAAATCATTTACTCCAATAGCCACAGGATCATCATAATGCCATTAAAAATCATGATTTTGAAGAATATTTTAAAACAGAAAAATGCTTAGGATCCATTAAGTAAAAAGTGTAAATTATGCAAGACTATATATGGAGGTCTAAACATACAGAAAGGCAAAAAACTAGTAGCAGTAGTTATCTTTGGTATTAGTTATGAGTCACTTTAATTTTGTTACGAATTTCTCCACAAGAGTTAGGTGGACAAATACTACCTTGATTAGAAAGACAGAAATAAAAAGAAAGAAATATCTTCTAAAAAGCAGCTCGCTTAGGACCAGGTTGAGGATCAGTAACAGAACATTTGGCCCCCACACTCACGGCCCTGGGTTCACTGCCCCCAGGACCACACAAAGAAAGACCCACTCAGAGGTGCTGGTTTCTCAGTCTTACCCGACCCTTCTCTTTCTTGTGCTCCTGATGGAGAGCTTGAACTCGAGCTGTCCACTTGCTTTCCTATGTGAGAACAGAACGAGTGATTCATTTTCAACTGTCACTGAATCTTCAGCAGGTACTTATGAAACAACCCAACAATCTGGTACCCTTTTAAGGCCCTTTTAAGGCTCTATACAGCTGAAAATGTTTGCTTCTGAGCTTAACCGTTAGTAAGGCAGGATCAGCAAAGAGTCTCTTACAGAGTTCACAGTAACTATTTTGGGCTCCAGGGATCAGACCACTGTCACAGCTATGGGTACCAATGGGCGGGGTTGTGTTCCAATAAAATTTCACAGGCAAAAATGGTACTAGTTGGTCAACCTAAGGGCCAGGAGAAAACATCAAGGTTACTGGGTCCATGGTTCTAAATGGACCATGCAGCTTACAGATAAGAAAAAGAAACTGAGGTGACCCTAGGAATTCCTATGGCCGTCAGTTTATGGGAGACACATTGGGGTCTTAGCCCCCCAGGGCAAGTGTCAGTAGTTCAGGCCCGGCGTCCCAGCCCTCAGCCTGGCACCAGGCACCTTGCTGGGCAGCCCCTTGCAGGCTGGGAGAAGATGAACAGAAGGCCTTGTACAGGAAAGAGGACACTGGCCAGGGATTCTGGACTGCACCTTGTGAAACAGGGGTGATCAAAGGATTTCAGATAGGAGAGTGGCATGGTTGGCCTGGCTGCAGTGGAGCAGGTGGACTGAGGGCAGGACACGAGCACCAAGTGAGAAGCTGTAGTCCACGTTTCAAAAGTATACTTACCTTTCCCTGAGGAACATGAACTGTTTTTTTAAACATACTCAATTTATCGGCTCTAATCTATCTGTTATGATTTTTAAAAATTGCCTTTCTAAAACCACGATGACCAAAATAGCATGTGAAGATTGTGCCAGTTACAAAGGTTCATTTCCCAACAATTACAATGACATGTAAATAATGTAAAATACCATTGGTTCAATAATGTAGCAGCACAATTAAACTCTAAAAAATCAATCAGGTACCGCAGTGTACCTTTGTGTGTCTTCTCAAAGTGAGATCTACATCTGAAATATGAAAAATCACATCACAGTGTCAACTGGTTACCAGTTCATGCTGACCTTAGGGAAAAACAATTTCCTCCTGTTTCCTATCCATATGCACTAGTCAATGAAAAGCACTTAATGAATCTGGCCTGTGTTAGACGACCAAAAAAAAAACTAGTTACCTTCGTGTTTACCAAAAGAGAAACTCATTTTGTGCAGATGACATTTACTATGAAAGACTTGGTGAAAGAAACCAAGTTCCTGCCACTGCAGTTCCTGCCACTTCACACACCTGGCTGTCAAGCAGCTGCATCACATTCTGGAAATCCTGAGGGTTCAGGCGGTCTTCTTTAAGCTCATGTGCGTCTTTCAACGTGCCTATGTTGGACTTGATTTGCATATTGGACTTCTGGATTTCTGACAATTGCTATAAAACAAAATTCAAAATCCCCAGTACAAACATTGTACTCTGATAACCCTAAAACGCCGACTACAACTGGGGAGCACGAAGCCATCACTGAAGCTGACTGTGCTTTGGGCATATCCCATGTGCCTTCTTCCCCGCAACCTTTCTCTTATTTCTCCTGCTCTCTGGACTCTCCAGTCACCAAAAACAGAGGAACTGGATGCAGCAGATCCTTAGCATAATTTAGTGAGAGGCCAACTGTGAGGGGACCACATCTGGAAATCCACCAGGGATGCAATGTTTTAGTTTTACCCTTTGCTGTTAACCACGGGGAAGGGGGAAACCCTCAGAAAACTACAGGAGGTAAAATGCCAACCTGAAAAACAAAAGAATAGGGATTATAGTTCCCCATTCTTTACATATGGGCCGCTCACGGTGACTTCATTTCAAAAACAAGGAAACAATTAGCTTTCAGTAAATGAAAACTGATTTCGGTCAGGTGACCAAGGTCCACAAGGACAGTGATAAATCAAAGAGACAGTGTGCACCCTCGGAATTACAGGTTGAAAGCAGCACTTTCCCTCCAAGTTCTTCCTCCCCACAGTCTATAAACCTGATCTAGTGGTGAGAAAAGCATCATATATGCATCAATAACCAAGATTAGGATTTATCCAGTAAAAAACTGGCCAATTCTGCCACCAAATTGTTAAAGTCATCAAAACAAGGCTGTAAAATAAGAGGAGGCTACGGAGAAGGAGACAGAACAACTAAACGTGACTGGCACAGTGGATAGGACACCAATAGAAGAAGGACATTAGAAAATGAAGAGCTTAGAGAAAGACGCAAGGATGCATCTTTGTTTCTGAAACTCACTGGCCCCTAGAGGGAGCTCAAGGATTGTCCCTCAGGTTCCCTCCTTCCTTTTCCCCCATCAAGACTGAGGAAGGCTGTAGACTGGCAGAGGGGATGAAGGTCCTGCCCCTCTGGTCACCTCTGTGTCTACCACCCATGCTTGTGACCTGGGAAGGGTGGACCAGGGCTGTTCCTCTAGAGGTCAGGGCCTCACTGAGCCAGCTCCTACATGATACAGACCCGTCCTCCTTAGCAGACAGAACAGGGGTGGCCGATGAGCTTGGCAAGAGTTCTTGTTCATTCTTCCTGTGTCAGATTCCTTCCCTGCCACGTTGGCGGTTGGGGTCAGTCTTTCCAGTCATTATAGGGCAGGTTTTCAGTTTAAAGCAGTGTAACCAGGTAAGGAAGGAGGGACCCGCTTCTATGTCCACCAAATGTACCAGCAGGGTATAGTATCAGGTTTTGGAGCCAAGCTCTTAATCTCAACAGAACAACTTCCTCTGATTTGTTCTGTCTACCCAGTGATGAGCTTCTCAGGGCCCTCCCTGATAAACACACTGAATAAATCCTAATCGTGGTTACTGAGACTTATCTGACGCTTTTCTTATGATTAGATCGGGTCTCTAGGCTTTGGGGAGGAAGAGCTCAGTGTCTGTCCCAGGGCTAGTGAAGCCCCTTCCCCAGGCCACAAGGCCATTCCAACACCACCCATCAAGACAACCCACACTGTGAAAACATCTAGGTTCAATACTTACATACTCTAATGCTGAATTCTTGGAAGTTAATTCTTTAAACTCCTTCATAAACATCTCCTTGACTTTCTCCATTTCATCAACTAGTTTCTCCTTTTCTTCTTCTTTCCACTTGTCGAATAACTTCAGAAAGTCTTCCTCTTTTGTTTTCTGCATTTCATATTCCTGAAATTATTTTATTTTATTTTTTGGTATGGGGGATCGAACTCACAGCCTTATGCTTGTCAGGCAGGCACTTATGCCACTGAGCTAAATCCCCAGCTACTGAAATTATTTTAACAGGTGGCTTTAATACACAGCTGATACACGGCAGATGTACAAGATTTACAGTAAGTGGTCACAGATTCACCTCAAATCTATAAGCCTCTATTGCTTCTTTCCATTAGGCCCCTAGCACCTCCTGTGGTGGCAGGTCTGTGCATAATAATTCTTCCAAGTTAAAGGCAGCAAACCTATGTCCGCGCATCCCTTGAGACACCTACACAGTGACCTTCAGGAGTGTGCTGTGAGCTTGTGCTCCAGAAACCACCCAGGAATGTGTAAAACACAGACATACTTTTTTTCAGCTTTTATTTTGTATTAGTCCATGTTTGCAGTATGTAACCATTACATTCCTTGTGGGGAGTTGGTACATGTACACAACACACCTGAATTCCATTTTTATTCCCTCTCTTACTCTTTTCCTCCCACTCTCTCTAGCTCTTGGTCCCCTTCACATTTGCAAAAGATCTGGTTCCATACTTTCTATTATCTTTCATTTTGTTCTTCATTTATACACTGGGTTTCTCATGTAAAAGAAACCACGTGATATTTATCCTTGTGGGTCTGATTTATTTCACTTAACATTATGGCCTCAAAATGCATCTAATTCCCAATAAATGACTCAAGTTTCTCCTTCTTTATGACAGCATAGTACTTCCCTGTGTATAAATATCACAGCTCCTTTATCCTTTCCTCTGTTGATAGCTATACAGGCCACTATCGGTAGCTATCTAGCTATTGTGGATTCTGCTTCTATGAGTATACAAGTATCACTGTATTATGATGTCTTTAACTCTTTCAGGAAAGCAAATTCAAATCATCTGACATTAGTACTGACCCAGAGAAATGAAAGGGACTGTAAGATGAAACAATGAACAATTCCACAGCAACAAATTAGGAAACCTGGAGGAAATGGACAAATTCTTAGAAATATACAAATTACCAAAAGTAACACAAGATGAAAAAGAAAATTTCAAAGATGGCACAAGAGAGTGAATTAGTAATCAAAAACCTCCCTTCTGATCTAGAGCCAGAAGCTTTTAGTGCTAATGCCACCAACTATTTAAAGTAAAATTAACACCAATCATACTCAAACTTCTCAAGAAAAAAAAAAAAAAACCAGAGAGAGACAGAGAGAGAGAAAAGAAAACATTTCCTGAAAGATCCTCTCAGTATATTTTCCTGATGCAAAAGACACTAAAAGAAGAGACAATCACATGCCAGTAATTCATGAAAACATGCAAAAATTCTCAACTAAATATTAGCAAAGCAAACACAGTAACAGCACATTAAAAGGATTATACTCTAGAGACCAGGTATGGTAGTACACACTTAAATCCCAGTGCTCAGGAGGCTGAGGCAAGAAGATCACTATGAGTTCCAGGCCAACCTAGGCCACAGTGAGTCCCAGGCCAGCCTGAACTACAAAGCAAGGCCTTGTCTGAAGAACCCACAGTTAACAACCTATGGTCAAAGGCTAAAAACTTCTCCCCGAGACCAGGTATAAAACAAGGTACTGGAGGCAAAACCGTATTTGCAGAGGGCAAGATTCTATATGAAGACAGTCACATAGAATCTGTAGAAAAGCTACTGGACTATTTCAGTCAACTTGCAGGATACAAGGTTAGCATGAAACAATCATTTATGTCTCTACATTCCATCAGTGAGTAATCCTAACCGGAAATTAAGAAAACAGGAAGTTAAGAAAACAATTCTATTTAGAAAATGGATCAATATGCCCATAATAATATTTACAAAAATTACTATTTCAGAAATTTTACCAAAAAGATAAAAGATTTCTAATTCCAAAGCATCACTGAAAAGTATTAAAAGACACCAAGTAAATGGGAAACAGCCTATATTCATGGATTGACAGATTTACTATTTGTAATACTTTCTAAAACAATCAATAGATTCAGTGCAATCTCATTCCAATAGCCCTTTTTCAGAAATGAAGAAGTTAATTCTCAAATTCATATGGAATTGAAAGGAACTTTGAATAATCAAAACAATAATGAAAAAGAAAAACAAATCCAGAGAAGTCATACTTCGTGGTATAAAAACTTATTACAAAGCTACACTCAAACAAAATAATATGGTATTGGCATATGACTAGACATAGAGACCAATTAAATGGAGCCAAAGTCCAGAAATAAACCCAAATATCTAGTTAACCAATTTTTAACAAGGGTATCAAGACCATTTGATGAAGGAAAGAAGATTATCTTCAATAAATGGTGCTGGGGAACTGGATGACTACCTATAAAAATTGAATTCTAACCTCACTCTGCATGCAAAAATTAACTCAAAATGGACCATCAACCTAAATATAAGAGTTAAAGCTGGCTGGAGATGGTGATACAGCCCTGTAATCCCAGCATCGTAAGAGGCTGAGGCAAGAGGATCACAAACTTGAGGCCAGCTTGGGCAACACAGCAAGACCCTGTCGCCCCACAGAATTTTAAAAAGACCCTATCGCCACACAGGCTTTCGCTAAGTGGAGTGAACCTGCCTTGCATGCATAAGGCTGTGGGTTCTCTCCAAAGTACCACACACACACACACACACACACACACACACACACACACACAGCAGACAAGTATGAACATTGGATGTGAAGAAATAAGAACCTTCAGACATTACTCATGCCAATCTAAAATGATAAGGCCACTGTGGAAAAGTGTGGTGCTTCCTCTAAAAGTTATAAACACAGAATCACCATGTGATCCAGCAACTTCACTCTTAGATACCCAAGAAAAATGAAATCGTATGTTCACATAGGAACACATCATCACAGTCAAGAGATAGAAACCAAAGGTCCACTAGTGGACAAATTGTGGTATTGGCATACAATAGATGATTATTCAGCTATAAGATGGAATAAAGGACTGGTGTATACTACAACTATGAGAAATCTCAAAAATATTATGCTAAGTGAGAGAAGCCATATATAAAAGGTCACAAACTCTGTGATTATTTTTGTATAATATATAGAATAGACACCCATAAACACAAAAATAAGACTTATCTTAAGCTTCAGTAGAAGTGACTATTTACAGGGTACAGGTTATTTTTTTGGGGGGGGTGTAGAAAATTTTTGAAACCTACAGGATTGCTGGGTGTACTACATTATTAATACACTGAATGCCACTACACTGTCCACTTTAAAATGGTTGTGTCCCAAAGAGATACGTATTTGAACACTCATGTTTGTGGCAGCATCATTCACCACAGCCAGGAGGTAAAGTGATCTAAGTGTACAGAGACAGATAAATGGGTAAACATCATATAGACATACAATGAAATCTTAGCCCTAAAAAGGAAGGAACTTCTGACCCATGCTATAATATGATTGAAATTTGAGCCATTATTCTACATGCACATTGCATTGCTTCAGCACCAACGAGAAGAGAGGTGCTCTTGCACATTCTTCTTTACCCTAGAAGTGCATGGTGGTCACTCCTCTGCAGGAAGGTGACGGTGTGCTTGGGGTCCACCTTCTGAACCACAGTGCACGTCACTAGCACAGCACAGCCTGCTCCCCTCCTAGGCCTACATCATCCCTGAATTACTCAACACGACATTAGAAGCAGGCACCAGCACTGACACGGACATCATACAGATGAAAAGGACAACAAAAGAGATGAGACCTGTTGTGCCAGAGGGGTGCAACCTACTCTGGTGGCTCTGAACATAGAGGTAAAGGGCCAACGAGCCAAAGAGTGCAGGCAGCCTCAAAAAGGAAATGACGAGCAGCCTTCAGTGCACAGCCAGGGAGAAAGTGGGGACTGCAGCCCCACAAAAGCATGAACCTGGATTCCACCAACAATCCAAATATTATTAGCAAGAAGCACTCTCTTCCGATGGCCTCTAATACACATGAACAGGGTCCTGCTCACCTTGATTTTAGCCCAGGCAGACTTCTGACTCGCAGAAATGTAATGTAATATAATAAATGTGGGTTATTTTACACAAAGAGAAAGGTTACATTGGGCATGCTAGTACATGCCTGTAATCCCAGTACTCAGGAGGCTAAGGCAGTAGGATCATTGCAAGTTCGAGACCAGCTTGGGCTACAAAGTGAGCTCAAGGATAGCCTGAAGTGCACACACACAAAAAAGAAAGGTAGAGAATCTTATTTCTAGCAACGTGTTTTGTAGTCAGTTACTAACAGTAGCCTGAGAACGGAAAGTACAACTGCATTTCATTGTGTTCTAGAGATACCTAAAGCTCTTCTATTTGTGAGAGTCCATGGCACAAATGAATTGCATGCAGTTAAGCATAACAGCAATACTGTGGGAGAATGCTCACCTTGGAGAATCTGACCGCATGGGCGTGCTGGGCAGCCTCCAACTGAGACCTGGTCAGCTGCAGTTGATCCTTCAGCATGTCGACCTCCTTCTGGAGCTTGTCGGTCTGTGCCTTTGCCTTATATTCTGTGTGCAACAGAGAATTTTGTTAAAACACCATCTCTACAAAACGCCACTGAAAACTCAAGGGGCACAGTCCTACCGGTAACACAAAGGCAGCTGCTCTTACTTGGAATATTATTACTTGTTTCATGCCACGAGTCCATTTTTGCTCTTTAATGTTTATTTAGAGTGCTTTGTATGATTGGGCAAAGGATTTAATTTAGCAGATCCTTTTGGCCACTGTGTTGAGATTGGATTTGACACAGTGGCACTCAGAGCTCTGCTTGGAGACAACTGTCTCAACCAGAGGAGGGAAGCAAGGGCTTTCACTCCAGGTGCCATCATATTGAAATCGTGGTGACCACCATTCTTCCAGTGCCCACCAAACTCTCCTGGAGACCCCTGGCAGTGCTAATACCAGCAGAGGGCTGGCATTCAGAACACATTCTCGGGCCACACCCTGTCAGCTAGGGCAAAAGCAAGAAACTGAAAAGTTGTAAAAGGAAGCAAAAGTGAAGGGAAGAATATTTATGTACATGTACTTACATGAAGATGTACACATGACTGAATGGATATACATGTGTCTGTGAGTGTAGACATGAAAGGTATGGAAACCAAAGTAGAAAGTCAGAATCTCAAAGATGACCTGAAGAAATAATACTCATTTCAGAGTTTGAAATACTCTCTGAAACGAGTATGAGATAGAATAAGATACTGGAACAGAAGAGAAAGAAGGTCAGTTTCACACTGAAGAATGATAGGTTAATTAAACTATTTCATCGTTCCCATTGTTCTGACATATTGCTATATTCTATCAGAATGGTCCATGGCTTACAAATGGAATTGTATTCTGTTCAGACAAACCTTGGCTACTTCCTAAAATCAATCAATTTACTTGAAATGGGCAGGAATGAAAACAGATTGGCCCAAAAGGCAAGAGTAATAAGCTCGGTAGATAAATCTAGATACTGAAAACATTTAAAGTCACAGTGAGAATTTCTGAGGCTTAGTGCAGCAGAACGCTTTGATCTGCTCATAGAGAAAGGAAACTTACACTCTGCTTTGGACAACATTTAAAATAGTAGTAAGAGCCCTGGTTCCTTGGTAAGCCACAGAATCTCCTCCTCTCTCTTGCATTTTCATCTCTACCTCTGTATCCTAGCTAGTTCCCATTAACACCCAAACACAACATCTCCCATACCAAACAAAATTTTCCCTTAGTCCCACACTTTGGTTCAGAACATGCCTCCACTTTCTGCATCCTGCCCAGCAAATGCTAGTGAAATTGACGTCTATATCTGGTAGGACTACCCCCTTATAATTCTCAGCTCTGCTCACTGAGACAGGCCTTTTGTCCCCACCAATCCACTGAGGCTGCTAATATTAGATCCCTAATAATCACCTTAACTACAACAGTCAATTCTCCTATGTGCACCTTACTCTGTGCCTCAGCCTCAGAAACATTCGATACACTTGACCACTGTCCTCGGAACCCTTTGTTTCCGTACCAGAACACTCCCTGGATCCCCCCTCACCTGCTCTTTCTGGGCCTTAGTGTGGGGAGAGCCTTGATACTGCACCAGGTCTTCTGTCCTCCAGCAGTCAGCCCAGCTCTCCTCTAGGGACTCCCAGACCCCTATTTGATGCCTGGTCTCTCTCTACAAGGAGCTCAACGCCTCCCAAATGCCCATTTCATGGCTATTCTGTGTGTGTCATCAGTGCACCTGTTGCCAACACCACCTCTCTTCCAGTCTCCTGCCTACAAGCCATTGCCCACTCCCAGCCCCGCATCACAGTAAACACCACCACCGTTCATATTTGCTTTGTCTCTGCCTCTCGCTGACTCACATCTCTGTAGATTCTGTGTTCAACACATAGCCTGTCCATCTTCATCTCCCCCTCTGCCCTGCAACCATCCTGGTCCAGGTTTCCATCTTCTCTCACCTGAGTTTCTGTGTACCGCCCCCACTGGCACTTTGGGCCCTACAGTTCATTCTCCATCCTCCGTCCACAGCTACAGGGACCAATTTGAAGGTACAAATTAGACCATGACACTCCCCCACTTAGAATCCTCTAGTGTCTTCTCATGATGCTTCCCCCCAAATACAGTCCAGCTGAAGCCTTCAAAGCCTCCTGCGGTCCAGCCTCTACCCCTCTAGCCTCACCACACATCGTGACCTTACTCACTGTACTCTGCCAGCCCCCTCATTCCTCCGAAATGCTGCCCTCTTACTATCAGTGTTCCCTGAGCCCCTCCGTTCTCCCGTTTCTCGCCAGGCTGGAACCTCGTCATCATTCTGGTCTCTGATTAGCTATGAGGCCTTCATCAACCACCCAGTCACTCTCCATCCCATTTTCCTGTTTTACCACCTTCACTATGTTTGCCAGCACATGAAAAAGGATTTCCCTTTATTATTAAACCACTTCTTTGTCCCTCCATTAAGATGTACAATTCCAAAGAGCAGGACTTTGCTGTTCGGCTTCTGGCTGTATCCTCGGTATGCAGGGCCCTGCGTGTACACAGTAAGGGCTGGGCTCAATATTTACATGCTGAATGAGAAAAAGACTATGAGGCTTTCTTCCAAAAGGGACTGAGAATGCCTGCACCATGTCTCACTGGAAACAAGAAAAAAGAGAACAGCAATTAAACAGCTCTGAAACAGAGCTCATTCCTTACCAATGTGAGAATCTTCAGGGTGGCGGCGTTGAACATGACTTTGTAGAAAAGCATGGTTCATAAAGGCCTTGTCGCAAAAATGGCACTGGAAAGAAGAAAGCAACAAATCCAAGTGTCTGAAACAAATGTCTTCTTGTCTAACTGCAGTTCAAATTCATGTACCAGAAGTACTGCCTCTTGGGGGTTTTCTCCTCCAAAGATACCAACCTAGCAAGTGAGAATAAAAGCACGACTCAAAACATAAAATATAGGTTGTTTAGGTTGTTCTTCCCAAACTGAACACAAAGCAGCGTTCAGGGAGATTACCTCCTGACAGTTAGAGTAGCCCTGCGGGTGCTTTCTGGAACCCCAAATGCTGCTCCCATTAGAATAGTGGCTTCTACCCTGTCTCCACCAACTTGCTCATGACAGCCCCGCCATGCTGCCTTCTCTGTCCCTCAGCCTGCAAACTTTAGGGCCTTACCATTCACTGTTTCCTCTCTGATCTTTCCTAGACCTTCCCAAATTGGAACCTTCTTGACATTCAAGATGTCACTCATTGTCTGCGCTGAGGCCAACATCAAATCTTTAGGGAGATCTTCCCGCAAGATTCCCCAGGTAGTTACATCCCATAGTTTCATCTTCATCATGGTAATATACCTCACCAATTAAAATCTTCACATTTATTTACTGTACTTCTCTCCTGCTCAGTCCCTCCAAGTTCCTGGGCCCAGTCTATCTTAAGCACAGCATTATATAAGACCGAATGACGTTTACAAATATCTGGTCTATTAAAATGAATTTTTAGACAATAAAAAAGAAATTTCACCAATATCTATTTTTCTACTTGTATATCAATTTGCATGTTAGGCAAAAATTCAGCTTGTTCCATCCATGTTCTTACTTTGAAGTAGATTCTGGATATCACATATTCCTTTTGTGAATATTTAAGCACACACATCCAAAAGAAATGGACTTTTTTCCACTCAGTAATGGCAATTACTGTAATACCACTATTCCAATCACAATGCTATTATTCCCTTTTTAAATGAAAACTGAAACCTTTTTTTTTAACCTTTTTTTTATTTAAGGAGAAAAAGAAAAAAAATAGAAAAAGCGTACAAGTTATACAGAATTTCAGAAAACATAAACAGTAGGAAATCACTAGTTAATAGATTACATATTGTTATCTTAGAAATAGTTAAAAACTGAAACCTTTATATCAACAAAGATCCAACACTTTGTTTGCTCCCCAAAATTTCACAGTGTCTTAGAAAATCAATTCAGTTTGTTTTGAAATATAATTTAAGTAAGCCTCACACCTCAAAACTGGTTGATTTGTCTTTTATAGGTTCCCTTCTACCTCTCTTTTTTCATGCTATCTTTTGCTAAAGGGTTTAAATACTTGTCATGCAGAGTTTATCTGTTCTTTGCTGTTTCCAACTCTGCTGTGCCTGTCTTTCTTTCTTTCTTTCTTTCTTTCTTTCTCCTTCTCTTTCTCTGATTCTTTTAATTTTCAATTTTTTGGACAGGATCTTGCCATATAGTGCAGGCTGGCCTTGAACTTGTTTATGTGGCCCAGGTTGGCCTTGAACTCACGGCACTCCTCCTGCCTCAGCCTTCTAAGTGCTGGGATTACAGGTGTGTGCCACCACACCCAGCTTGCTGTGCCATTTTAGCATGTTCTTTTATTCGCTGATCTTAATTAGCTGGACTGTGTCTAGAATTCAGCTTTAGGTTTCCCAAAATGCTACCATCTGGCGTATTACTCAGCATTGCTGAGAACCTTTCAGCACTGGTCAGTCTTCTGTGCTCATTCACAGCACCATAGGGACTGCCTGCACTAACTCTGGTGTAAATAAAGCTTCCAGGACCATTAGAGAAAGGACAGGACAGGAAACCATGCCCCCCTCTTTATGGTCCTTTGCTCAACACAGGTTGTCAGAAGGTGCTTGAACAGTACTGCAGCCTTTCCAACTCGTTTCTTCAGATCACAAAGGACGGGGCCAGGTGTTGTGGCACATGCCTGTAATCCCAGCACCCGGGAGGCTGGGGCAAGCGGGTGGCAAGTCCAAGTCCAGCCTGTGCAACCTGTGACTCAGAAAGTTTAAAAGGGCTGGGGATGTAGTTCAGTGCAAATGTACGTTAAAGTTGCAAGCTGAGGGAATTCAGCATTTGACTTCTAAGAGGATGTATTGGACAACCACACAATGGAGGAGGAATCAAAGCTAAAACTTAAGAATGAAGTGAGGAGATAAGATGACTTGAGTAAGCATATAAATAGAGAACTGATTGTAAAAATAGTATGAAATCATGCTCGCTTTGGCAACAAATATACTAAAAAAAATGTAGTATGAAATGTACAGTTAAATGAAAGAACGTAAATGTTACAACCTGGAAAGTTGAAAAAGCAGCTCTAACCTCCAACATGATTGATTCTACTTGGAAAAGATTCCTTTAAGACAGTGATTAACATTGAAGGAGGTCACAATGTTGCAGGCAGCTGAGTTAGTTAAAAATATTATAGGCAGTGAATAGGGCTAGGTCCTCAATGGAGCCAGTACAGACACCTGACAGCTGGGGAAAAGGGGGAAGCTGACACCTCCTGCTGTGGGCCAGGCCTCAAAACAAAAGACCGTACAAATGTACCCATATCTTAGGATTGATACCCTACATAGTTCCCATCCCCCTAGGGAAGAGTCACTGCTCTGTAAGAATGCTTGCTTTTGGAGTGACTCGCTTCCCCATTTGTCCCTAATGTAATCAATTTTACCTGGACTATTTGATCTTATTGGCTAACTATAGTTATGTCCCACCTTATATGCCCATCTGCCTTGTAAGCTCCCAGTCTTCCACCTTGACTCTATAAAAGTCCCTGGAAAGAACAGAGTCCTTAGCAACCCGCTTGGGACCCCTCCTGTCTCTCTTCAGAGGGAAGCTTTCTCTCAATAAATATATTCTACTCTTCACCTCTGTTGTTCCTAAAATTCATTCTTTGGTTTTAGAGAACACAAACTCGCGGACATAATAGTTGAGCGTTTCATTCCCTTATATCAATAAGGCAGAGTGCCTGGTACAATAGAACTGGTGTCCTTATAGTAACAGGAAGACAGGGCAGGTTCTTCCTACATCCCCAAAAAAGAAAAGGGCACAGTAAGCACATGGTCATCTACAAGCCAGGAAGCAAGGCCTCACCAAAAACCAACCCTGCTGACACTTTCTTCTTAACTTAAGATTTCCAGCTTCAAGAATTACCCAAAATTAAAATTCTGTTGTATAAACCACCTGATCTTGGTATTTTGTTATGATACACCTAGAAGACAAATACAGGTTTATAAGCATGATAATCTTTATGTAAAGTTTCCAACTCAAAAACTGCCACAGAATATTCTTTCTTCTCCCCCTCACTCTCAGGTTTTAACTAAAATAAAGCAATCACTCTTTCAATCCCCATTAATAATTTCTAACCTAACCCATAGGGAGTGGAGATTATGATCAGAAATGTTCAATTCTTTAAGTCTTGTTGCTACATAAGTGAATGTTAGGAAATACACACATTGAAAAACTTAGCAGTCTAATTCATTTTTAAATGGTTCAGATGCAATAAAAATATATAAAAGGAGCTGGAAGGAATTAAAATGAATGTGGCAGGTGTTAATAATTGGCGACTCCAGGTGAAGAGAGTATCAAAGTCCTCCGTACTATTCTGGCAACTTTTTATCTCTCTGTTTCTAACTTTTTTTTTTTTTTTAAAGAAATCCATAATCTGAATCATATTCCCGATTGTTCCAGAGCTGACCTCAGTAGCAATTTCTACAGGATTGATTTTTTTTTTTCATGACATTGATGGAAGAGAAATAGGCTCTCCGATCAGCGTATCTAGATAAATGCAATAAAGCACTTCAGACAACCTTGGGTATTAATTATTAATTCCAAGGCTGGATGCAGAAGTTAATGAATGATGTGGTCTGTTGGCTAAAAGCACTGTTTTGCTTAAATACACTGTTTCTTCTGATGTCTGGTACAATTTCTGATTAGAAAGAACAGTGTTGGAGGAAAGTCCTCTTACCTGGGAACCAGACTGTTCGGGTTACGGTATCGGCCCACAGCGCACTCTCACCTGGTAATAGCTGGCTTTGGCCTCGATCATCAGCTGCTGGGTGGAGATCATCTTTTTCCTCCGCTTACACTCCTCCTTGAGCAGCTTGATCTCCCCAGCCTGCTTGGCGAGCAGCTCCTTGCTCTGCTCGCAGTCACCCATGCTCTGGTGCAGCCGCTCCTCCAGGCTGTGCAGCTGCGAGGTGAGGAACTCCTGCGAGTGCATCAGGTACTCAATGGTGAACTGCGCCAGGCGGATGAGCTTCAGCAGCACTGGGTCCACCCCTGAGTGGCAGTGTGGGCACTTCTCATCCTCTAGTTTGCAAAAGGTGATGTTCATGATGTTCTCTTGCAGCGTCAGCACGTCCACAGCTCCCGCCACCTTGTCCACGTCGATGGCGCTCAGACGTCGCCAGTCCACGCTTTCCAGTCGCGGCCGAAACTGGAAGAAGGGCAGGGGTCCCCATGCCGCGCTGGGAGGGTGACCGGGCATGGAGCCCGCGCGGGCCACAGGAGTATCAGGCCCCTCGGGGCAGCTGGCCAGCGGGTAGTAGACACGCTTCTGGAAGGGCTGCAGAGGGAGAGACAGCGCAGCAGGAAGCAGGGTTGGAGCCAGCAGGCAGGCGAGGGAGCTGGGAGTCACGGGGAGCGCAGCCACCCCCAGCCAGGCATCCCCGACACGCATTGGGGCCACCCGCCTCTTACCATGCTTGCAGCCAATCCGCCGCCTATGCGTGCGCGGGAGGAGCTAGGCAGACTCCTCTACCAGACGCGGGCCGCCGCCGCCACGCCCTCGCGAGCGGGGGAAAAGCGACTCTCCCTCCGCGGCGGCGGCGGCGGCCGCCAGAGGTCTGGGCGTCCAGGACGTTGCTATGGCAGCGCCAGGCCTGCAGCTGGAGCAACGGAACCGGCGAGCGCAAGCGCCTGCGCGCGGTCAGCGGGCGCCCAGGGCTCTGTGGGACCAGAGAAGACTTCGAGAACCAACCCCGGGTGACACGCCCGCTGCCCTTTTGCAGAGGGCACCTCCCGGCTCCCAGGAGCACCACCCCCTTGGCCTTTGGGGCTGAATATTGCATGTCCTTGGACAGGCTAGGGTGCCCCATCCCCAAGCCTTTGGTCCTAGCTACCATCCTCCTGGTTACCCATCCACTCCCGTACTCAACTTAGGTTTTGAGATTAGAAATATGTATTTATTCTTATCTTTTACACGCAATTTAGACAACATGAGCAACAAAACTGTAAAATTAAATGACGGCAAAAGGAAGAAAACCTAGTTAATAGAAATGTTTCACATTTCCATGGTGGTGGTGACTGCTGGGGATTACACATGCATTTGTAAAACTTCTGAAAATGTATGCCTTAAATTAAGGGTGTATTTTGTATACTGCACCATATACAGTGTTCTTTGTTTTTATTTTTTAAATTAACTTCTAGTTAATCACACTTGACGGCAGGCTTTCTAAACTTCTTTCTTTTCCTGGGGGGCGTTGAGACAGGGTGTAGCTGTGCAGCTCAGCCAGGCCTTCAACTCACCATGTAGCCTAGGCTGGCCTCAACCTTGCAGCAACCTTCTGCCTCAGCTTCCCAAGTGCCAGACTCACAGGCGTGTGCCACCCTTCCCAGCCAAGACACTTTTATTAAAGGAATTTTTCTTTCTCAGTGGGTTGGCAGCCTACATACAACATTCTAATAAAGGCACAAACCAGACCTCCCCTAGGCATGGGAGAACTCACTCATCTTTCCAAAAAATACTTTCAAAATGCTGAAGATAAAAACAGTGGGGAACTCCTGCCCTCAGCTGTCCATCCATCATTCTTCATTTACAAAGCCACTCTATTTACCTTACAAATTTGTGTGGCGGTTGCATTCTGTTGTTTCTGCAGAAACTAAAATATTTCTAGCACCGACTTGCTGACCTCAGGCCTCTCATTTTGGGCTTCTTCTGAGGGATACCAGTGGTCACCATATAGATCAGTGCGCTGAGGAAGGGCCAGACATTCCTCAGTCCACCCGGGAGTCCCTGCTGGGACCAACCATCAGGAAATTTTCTTTCTTTCCTAACAGTCAGATATGTGAACAGAAGAAAGGAAAATACAGTTCAGAGTAACTACAGGCAAAGCTCGAAAATCAAGTATTTGTAGCACTTTACAGATATTGGGAACCAGAAATAAACCTTTAGGAAAAGCATCCAGAACATAACCATAAACCCACACAACACTGAATGAGCCTTTATAAGGAAAAACAAAAACAAAAACAACTAACGACTCACTATTGCCTGGCACAAAATTCCGAAAGACACAGATGGGCTCAAAGTTTGATTTTTTTCCATTTACTTGCTGCCTGACCCAGAACCAATCTGGCAACCCCAGGCCTCCACCTCCCCATCTGTTGGAGGGCGTCGCGATACCGACCTGACAGGTCTGTGGGCTCGGGGCTCCATCCACTGGGGCTGCAGGATCAGCGGGAACAAGGGTCGTGGTTTCTCTCGCTCACCAGCGTATCCGCAGCACCTAGCGCAGGACCCGCACGGAGAGGGTGTTCAGAGCGTGACCAGCGGGAATGGAGAACGGTCGAGTGGATTCGCCGCTCGGTTCCCAGGCCCGTATCCCTCCGTTTTCCCTGCCTCTGACAGAGAACCCTTGCTCTGGGCTAAGGGCCTCACAGCTAATCGTGGGGGCAGTCCGCGGGTCCCCGCCGCGATCCCCGCATGAAAAGGCGCAGGCCCGAGGCATCCATCGCCGCCGGGGCCACCACTCCAGCGTGGGGCGCCTGCCGTTAGCCACCCTTGCCCTTTAGGTTGGATCTGCGTCCCAAGATGGCCGGAACAGGAAAGAAGGGGGCACGCTTTCCTGTTCCCTCCGCCCCCCATCCCACGCGGGGCCCCTATTCCTGTGCCGCAAGTCGCCTCCGGGGCGCACCGCACTGCGGGCCTGCAGAGCCCGCTAAGACAAAGGCTGAGGGATGCGGGGTCCGGTGGAGCCTCGGTGCCCTTCCTTGGAAGACAAACGGGGAGCGGGGTCCGCAGCGGCGCGGATCCTGGCCGGCAGAGGCGGGAAGAGGCCCGGCGCGGCGAGCACCGAGATGCCGGGGCACCGCGAGTTCCGCGGGCGCCCGGCGCATCCCTGGCCTCGGCTCACCCCAGCTGCGCGCTCCTGGGCCGGTGCCGGGCGCTGCAGGCGGACGGAGGGTCACAAGGGATCCAGAAGCCAGAGGCGCAGCTGGCGCCGGCCTGGCTCGCTGAGGCCGAGGGGCAGCCGAGCCGGAGAGGCGGGCGGGTTCTTTCTTCCAGCGTGCAAGACGAAGCGTGCCTGGTCTGGGCAAGTTGTGACGAGGCGAGTCGACTGGCGCCGCTCCGGGCCTTCCCAGATTCTGGGCCACGAGAGTCTCGGGATCCCCCACCCCCCTCCCGCCCCCTCCCCGCCGCGGTCTCCTTCTGGCCTGCTCTCTCGGCTGCTCAGCTCCTCTGGCAGCGGGGTAGTGCTGCGCGGGTCTAGCCCGCAGAGCTGAAACGCGCTCCTCCAATCCGGCAGCTGGTGCGGACACGTGGTGCCGCGGCGCGCTCTGTTGCTGGCGCGGGGTGCTGGCCCCGGGAAGGCTTTCCGAAAAGAAATCACTCTATATAGTTAGCTGGACATAGGCTAGCTATTTTCCCACAGTGATATTATGTGATTTCTCTTCCAAGAAGAGGTGCGTTTTAACAGCAGAAGCACGCGGATGAAACGAACCTCGAACAGGCTACCCTTTGCAGTCCTGCATTTGAATGAGGTGGAAAATGAGATGGAGACTTTTTGTCAGCACTGTGGGTTTTAAACCCACGTTGGTTTCCACGATAGTTTAGTTGTGGGAGAGCTGTGGATCTCTGTTGGTAGATTATTGGGAAGTGGGAATTGGAGCAGACATCCTGGGTAATGAGTAGTGTGACTATTTCTTTAACCTAAAGTTGGGAACACATGATCTGATAATGGAACAAAATCCAGTATTTTAAAATAATAATCCAGAAAGTATTCATACAGCAGCACTTTAGCAGCCATAGTGTTGACCCAGATTAAGAAATTTGAGTTTATTTTTAGTCTTATTGAGGACTACAGAAAACCGAAACTTAACTTCGAAGGGAGTAGCTACAAACTATGCACTGGACAATATGTCACTGCAAAAGTATTTTTTCTTGTGCTTCTTCCCAATTGAATCAGTCTTTTTTGTTTTCATTTGTTTGTTTTGGGATTTTTGCTTTGTTTTTTTGTTTTATTTATTTATTTATTTTTGAGACAGAGGCTTGCTAGGTAGTACAGGCTGGACTTGAAATCACTTATGCAGTCCAGGCTGCTCTGGAACATGTAAAGATCCTCCTGCCTCAGCCTCCTAAATGCTGGGATTACAGGTGTGTGCCACCACACCGCGTCCCAGTTGAATCAATCTTGTACTATACTTCAGCATAAGTCTTCAAATATAGTAACTATTCAACACACATTTATGTTGAATGCCTTATATTCACTTCCTTTAACTGAAATCATAAGGCCCAGGGCAGCCAAGGTTAAATTTTAAATTTGTTTAGTTTAAAAATATTTTGAATTTGGAAAAACATTCAAGATTCATAAAAAGTCTGTGAATACCATGGATAACGATTTTGAGGCAGAAATTTTATATTCTATGAAGTTGGGCCTTTGTACTGCTTTGCAAAAGCTATTTGTGTGTGTGTGTGTGTGTGTGTGTGTGTGTGTGTGTGTGTGTGTATACATGTGTTCATGTGTATGGAAAATGATTAATTCATATTATTTGATAATTACCCCACAGGTATAGTATTAAAATAAATAGCATGGGATGTGAGAGAGATCTGGCTGCAACATGTCACCCCATTGATTGCCAGGGTTGATTTGGCTGATCTGGCTGGCTAGGCAGGTGTCCCCTTACCTCCCTCAATGACTCATGTTTGTCCCTCTTGAAGCTACATACTAAGGACAGGAGAGTAGAACAGTGCTGATGTGAAGGTTCCCTTGAACTGCCTAGCTCTAGGGAGCTTTTCTGTGTGATAAATGCACTTATATTTTTCCTATGGTCTTTCTTATACGGAAAATCAATTTTAACTGATAACCAGAACTTTTTTCATTTCCTGTGTTGTGGCTACTCCTTGAATGTTCAGCACATGGCACACATGCATAGTCTTCTCTCCACACATATGTCTTAGTCCATACTTGACATTGAGTAATGAAGAACAGAGATGTATTTTCTCACAGTTCTGGAGGACCGGAAGTACAAGATCAAGGTGCCAGCAGGTTTAACTGTCTGCTTCTAAGATGGTTCCTTGAGGCTGCAGCCTCCATAAGGGAAGAGCTCTATGCCTTCACATGGCAACGGGGTGGAAGGAAGGACAAGAGTGATGGACGCTTCATACAGATTCTTTATAAAAACCTTAATCCTATTCTCAAGAGCAACAGCTTTCATGGCCCAATCATCTTTTAAGGACCCATTCTTTCTCTTAATACTATCACATTGGCAGCTCCAGAGTTTTGTAGGGACACTTTGTATTTCCCCAAAAAGGCCCCTGAGATGAAAAAAGGATGGGGCAAAATGACATCGTTTTAAGAAGAAGCGCTTTTATTTTAGCTGGCCCAGTGACACAGTGCAGATGGAATTTGCAAAGCTGTGCAACTGAGTTAGAATTTTGACTGATTTTTATAGCTCATTTATGATTAGCTCATTGATCATTAAGTACATAGTGATGAGAAACAGAAACAAGGTGGGCCTTTGTTCCCCTTTGCTTGAGGTCAGAAACATTTCACAGTGGGTTGTTAGCCAATTCATAGTCCTTGGTCTGCCAATTCCAGGAACATTTGTCTCTCATAAAGGGAACAATGGTTGACACAGCATCATTTGTCTCTTACAAGGGGAATAAAAGTTGACACAGCACAGGTTACTAAGGTGAGGGGGAGCAATGCATACAGAACAGCATGATGACACGGTCAGTTAATTTATAACAAATTTATAACAATGTGGTCAGTGCTCCAGGTACATGGTTACTAGGGCGATAAGCATAGAGCATAACAGACACCTTCAAACTATAACAGTACACAATATTTAAAAAGTACTGGGCCTGGGGCTGGAGATTTAGCTCGGCAGCATAAGTGCCTGCCTGGCAAGTGCTAGGTCATGAGTTCAATCCCCAGTACCAAAAAATAAATAAATAAATAAATAAAAAAGGCATATAGGAAGTCTGGCAGAAAAAATACTGGGGGCCTGGGAATTTAGCTCAGCAGCATAAGCACCTACCTTGTAAGTGCGCAGTTGTGAGTTCGATCCCCTGTACCAATAAATAAATAAATACCGGTTGCTGGCAGAAAGTAAACACTTTATGCACATGTGTCCTGCTTCCTGGAAAAAGGCTGCTCCATAGCACTTCTGTCATGGCCGTGCACTTTATACTTATTTTTGCCCCAATTCTTTTTTAATTCTGTCTTGTTCCTTCCATCTATAGACTCAGTGGCAAATTTAACCTCTACCAATCTACCTTATGACAAAAAGAGAGAGAAAAGGATGAGGGGAAATATCTTTACCTTTCATAATTCATTAAGAAATTAGGATAGCTGTAGCGTTTCAAATACCCAGAACATAGGAACCCAAATATATACAGATCTGTGCACCAGCTCATTGTACACATTTGGCTCAGAACAAATGTCTACTAGCACAATGATCTAGGCCTGGAGTTCTAAAACACCAAAAGCACCCCTAAAATATAAAACATTGAAAACCACCTTTTAAAAAAGTCTAGGGCTGGGGTTTTAGCTCAGCAGCACAAGTGTCTGCCTGGCAAGTGTAAGGTCATGAGTTCGATTCCCAGTACCAAAAAAACAAAAAAATAGTTTAATTAAAAGATGTCCTCCAATGGGTGGTGTGGTGCTTTTTTTTTTTTTGAGCAACGGATCGAACTCAGGACCTCAAGTTTGCCAAGCAGACACTTAAGCAGCTGCACCAAATCCCCTGCCCCAGTGGTGCACATTTGTAATCACAGCACTCTGGCAGGCTGAGGCAGGAGGATATCAAGTTCAGGTCTGGTGTGACCAATTTAGTAATTTAGCAAGAATCTGTCTCAAAATAAACTTAGGGCTGGGATATAACTCAGTGTGAAGCCTTTGAGTTTTACCCCTAGTACCACCATCACACACACACACACACACAAATTATGTTAAACACTGGAAAGCTGCTTCAACTGTTCTTTTGCTGTAAAAGGCAGTTACTAAAGCAGGCATGGCACATCTGTAATGCCAGCACGGGAAAGGCTGAGATAGGAAGATGCCTGTGAGTTTGAGGCCACCCTGGGCTACACAGTGAGACCCTGTCTCAAGAAAACAAAAAAAGAAAGAAACTAAATGTCTTGACTTTTAAAATAAAGTTCAATTTTACTTAAAACAAAGTTTTCCGGAAGTAACAACATGATATTAGGTCAACTATTTCTGGATGAAGACAATGATTCTCTGTCTCACCCATCTTGGGTACTAGGTATGGTATGGAAATAAGCATGGACTTGAAAGCCATTAATTGGAGGGATCATCAGTTTTTAAAAACAGTATCCACTCCTTTGCACAATGTTGAGAGTCAGGTTCACTTGAGCATGGATCTGGGCTCTCCTCTGGCTATGTGAAGCAAGACCTCAACTTGCGTAGATCTTGGCTTCTGCATCATTCATATTCTGCCCTCAGAAGGGTCACAGAAGCCGTAGCAGCTCATGTGAATGTGAATATCATGTAATCCAGGAAAATATAGCGTGGCAGTAGTCACACCAGAACACACCCATCACCTTCTTGTCTTTCTTTCTCACCTTAACAGAGTCTCTCAGTCAGAGGGGAGGGGGCTTGCGGAGTTGGGGAGTCTCCTTTGTTTGGCTAATGGAGGTGATTCTGGTGCTCTTGGTGATTGCTGTCAGGATTCCCGCGGTTGCAGCCACTATTACAGGGGGAAAGACCTCTTTCAGAAGGCAGGCTCTTCTCTGGCAGGTGGATGTTTTTCTTGTTCAGTTTTTGGGACCACCATTTGGGATCTCAGCTCAGCAGAAAGCTATGGGTAGCTATGCTGCTGATCTATGGAACCCTCTCAACGGGTGCAGGGCTTTAGCACTAAAAGAACTGATAGCATTAGGCCATCATTCAGGTCTGTTTTATCTCTCTTCCTTCTCCTGCACATAGCTGGAATTATAATTGGTGCCAAAGCAGTGGCACTTCTCACCAATGAATTTCTGAAGTATTGGGCTTTTTTGTTTTGCCACATTACTTGCTAATCTGTCCAGAACCAGAGCTCTGTCACTTCCCATTTCTGCTC